GTCATCAATACCAAATTCAATCTAATTGGATGGGAATCTACGTTGCATTCTTCCTTTAACTGAGCATTTCTTCCTATCAGAGGTCTGTTAGTCTAACAGCTCCTGTGCTCTTCCTCCCCTGTCATCATCAGTTCTGCTGGTGGTTTAACCTTCAGTGTTTGAACAGGTTGTCATGTTGCATTAACTTCTCCCCGTTTCTCACAAACATCATGTTTTTTTCTCTGTGTGGAGATAGAATAACTCCCCATAGACTTTAATGATTGATCTGCAGCTGTTTGAGCAGTGGATCATGCCATGCTTGGTGTTACGTACTGATGCGTACTACACACTCACCAGCTGGAAGTAAAAGTAGTTCCCGTCCAACACATGCTTAGGCAATCCTCTTGTAAACATGCATTAACTAAAATGACTGTAGTATGGAAAGTATAGAACTCTGAATTTATAAATCGATTTTAGTGCTAAGTTTTTTTCCTTCGAGTTCTCTGCAATTGAGACTGTCACAATAAAAGACGTGTAACAGCAATTTGAACAGTAGTTTTATCCAAATAATTCAGTGAAAATATTTTCTATCTGTGCAGTTATTTCTTGTGAAATGCATTCGTATTTATTTATTTTCACTGTGAATCAATGTGAGTTTTATATTTTTTCAGAGTAAAATTCTATATTTTCCCAGTCGTTTAATTAACGGTTATTTAAATTATTTAATGACATAAAGGACCAGTTTTTTACTGTTGCTGTTTGATGGCATTTTTAGATTTCAGGTCACAAGTTACCTAGAACTTGATGCCAAACTTGTTAAGTTGGAACCAGCAGCGAGTCTTTTTGGGGATAACTTGCTCGTCAATTGTGATCTGTCTGCCTGGGTCGTTAGCAATAAGTATTGACCTGCTAATCTGCCAGGTAATTACTACATTTACAAATGAGTGGAGGCTAACTGTTGACTATTGCTTTGCTAATTTTAAACCATGCAACCTTTAGACTGTGTTTGCTAGTCAACTAAAGCAGCTTTCCAGATGAAATTAGCAGGCTGATGTGGGTTATCTAAACCCGGCAGGCAGTGTGACCTCTGTTCCCCACCGATGCGTGTCTGATGGCACCATCACACTGGGCTAGCAGTGGTGATCTCATTGGTGCGACAGAAATCAGGAAAGTAAACAATGAAGAGCAACATGGAAGGAAGCCAGCGCGTAGTCAGTGGGCTTTATTGTTTTGCTCTTTTGTCCGTCAGAATCCTTCTAACCAGTGCTGCGCCATGTTTATTGAATGCAATCTGAGTTTTTTTGGCTTGTTATATCAGACGCGACTGGTGCCATGTTGCGACATACGTAGTCATTTGACGCGATTCCCACTGCTACTAAAACGCGTTTGTTCGCAGGTTTAAACAGTTTTTTTTGGCCAGTGGGGTATTAGTTAAATGAACTATATTAATTCTGATAATAAATCGAGGTGTGGATTTTAAATTCTGACCCTGTAGGAGTTAGAAAAAACTCTAAACAAACGTAAACTATGCACCTGCTATTTTAACTACATTTGGTCAGTTACGTTTTAATAATACATTTAAGGGGCATTATAAATTCCATCTCAGTCTAAATCAAGCAGAATAAGCTTTAAAGTCATAGCATTAAAGGATACCGGTCAGTTTTCTATTTGATTAGTTCCTGTTTGGTCGATATCGCTGTAAATTGTGTCTAACTCAGTCGGATTCTATTGAGCTATAAAGACCAGATGAAGAATATTAATGCAGAAATCCTAAAGATGCTGAAGATTAAACCTTCATCTTTATGGAACAGTGTCCAAAAGTATCCAAATTCTTAACATTGATTGGGTCGGGAAGCAAAAGACAGAAACAAAATGAGGGTGTGTCACAAAAAAAATGCCCTACATGGCTGAAAGTTTCCCAGAGCTTATCTGATGTCAGGAGGAATTTACACCATTTTTATTTACGTTTCCACTCATCAGTTGTTCATTAAAAACTAAATGCTAATAGAGGAGAAACTTTTAAGTAACAGTTTCTTTATTTGTTTTCTAGATAACAAAGCTGTAATGTTAAAGAATCATAATGTGTGACAAGTTTTAAACTGTGATTGATGAGCAATGGCATTAAAGCAAAGATATTTCCATTCAGGTTTCACACCTCAGTGTTTTGGTTTCACAATAATGTCTCGATATCACAAAAAACATGCAGAGATGGAACCTGTTGGGGGGTGGGGGGGGTCAGCTGGTTGAACAACTTTGGTTTTAATAAATATGTTTTAGAGCCTTAGGGTTAAAGGCAACATAGTTCTGTATTTAATTTAAAAAACATTCATGTAAAAAATGTAAACGACGACACTCTCACACCCTGCTCAGGTATCTGCCGATAGGCACACCCCCCCCACGTCCCAACAGAGGTTCACAGAGTGACACGCCTACCTTCACAAATAGAGTACTTATGAATCAAACCATCTGATCACCAAAGGCACTGAGTCATCCCTGAATTCTTTAGATGCTGTTTTGATGATACAGACTTTTTTTTTTTTTTTTATCAATTAAAGTTGCTTTAAAAACATTTGCTACAGGTTTGCAAACTGTTTGATGTGGTGTTTTCCTTTTGGGTATAAAAAAAATTCCTACCAGTAACATGATATTCAATGCCAGGTGGTGAACTTGGACACAATTCTACTGTAACTCAGGGGCGGATTTAGGAAATTTGGGGCCCTAGGCAAAGGCATGGAGGGGGCCCTCTGAATAGAGAAGACAACACATACAGGTGCTGGTCATAAAATTAGAATATCATGAAAAAGTAGATTGATTTCAGTAATTCCATTTAAAAAGTGAAACTTGTATATTATATTCATACATTACATACAAACTCATATATTTCAGATGTTTATTTTGTTTAATTTTGATGATTACAAATGACAACAAATGAAAATCTCAAATTCATCATATCAGAAAATTAGAATATTGTGAAAAGGTTCAAAATTGATGGCCCCTGGTGCCACACTCTAATCAGCTAATTAACTCAAACCACCTGCAAAAGCCTTTAAATGGTCTTTCAGTCTAGTTCTATAGGCTACACAATCATGGGGAAGACTGCTGACTTGACAGTTGTCCAAAAGACGACCATCGACACCTTGCACAAGGAGGGCAAGACACAAAAGGTCATCGCTAAAGAGGCTGGCTGTTCACAGAGCTCAGTGTCCAAGCACATTAATAGAGAGGCGAAGGGAAGGAAAAGATGTGGTCGAAAAAAGTGTACAAGCAAGAGAGATAACCGCACCCTGGAGAGGATTGTGAAACAAAACCCATTCAAAAATGTGGGGGAGATTCACAAAGAGTGGACTGCAGCTGGAGTGAGTGCTTCAAGATCCACCACACACAGACGTATGAAAGACATGGGTTTCTGCTGTCGCATTCCTTGTGTCAAGCCACTCTTGAACCACAGACAGCGTCAGAAGCGTCTTGCCTGGGCTAAAGAGAAACAGGACTGGACTGCTGGTGAGTGGTCCAAAGTCATGTTCTCTGATGAAAGTAAATTTTGCATTTCCTTTGGAAATCAAGGTCCCAGAGTCTGGAGGAAAAGAAGAGAGGCACTTCATCCACGTTGCTTGAAGTCCAGTGTAAAGTTTCCACAGTCAGTGATGGTTTGGGGTGCCATGTCATCTGCTGGTGTTGGTCCATTGTGTTTTCTGAGGTCCAGGGTCAACGCAGCCACATACCAGGAAGTTTTAGAGCACTTCATGCTTCCTGCAGCTGACCAACTTTTTGGAGATGCAGATTTCATTTTCCAACAGGACTTGGCACCTGCACACAGTGCCAAAGCTACCAGTACCTGGTTGAAGGACCATGGTATCCCTGTTCTTAATTGGCCAGCAAACTCTCCTGACCTTAACCCCATAGAAAATCTATGGGGTATTGTGAAGAAGAAGATGCAATACACCAGACCCAACAATTCAGAAGAGCTAAAAGCCACTATTAGAGCAACCTGGGCTATCATAACACCTGAGCAGTGCCACAGACTGATCGACTCCATGCCACGCCGCATTGCTGCAGTAATACAGGCCAAAGGAGGCCCAACTAAATACTGAGTGCTGTACATGCTCATACTTTTCATGTTCATACTTTTCAGTTGGCCAACATTTCTATAAATCCTTTGTTTTTATTGGTCTTCAGTAATATTCTAATTTTCTGATATGATGAATTTGAGATTTTCATTTGTTGTCATTTGTAATCATCAAAATTAAACAAAATAAACATCTGAAATATATGAGTTTGTATGTAATGTATGAATATAATATACAAGTTTCACTTTTTAAATGGAATTACTGAAATCAATCTACTTTTTCATGATATTCTAATTTTATGACCAGCACCTGTAATTTAATCGAACAGACATCGTTTTGTCCCTCTCTTCTTGTCAACACCCTTGTTTATAGATGTTGGAGATTGACCTGTTTTCCAGTGTAGTCCTGTTTCTCTGACTGTGACTAACTGGATGTTCTCTCTTCATCCTCTGACATGGGAGCTTCCTCGGAGCTCGTCTGCCTGGCTGTGTGTCTCCTGGATAGGGCTGCCTTTTGTATCTCTGCTTCTGTCTCCTTGAACCCCAGTCGGCCTCAGCAGATGGCCGTTCACACAGTCCGGTTCTGCTGGAGGTTTCTTCCTGTTCAATTTGAGTGTTTCCTCTCTACTGTCGCTACAAGCATGCTTAGTGTGAGGGATTGCTGAAGAGTCAATGCAATCAGCTGGTTTTCCTTAGACAGAAAACTTTGAATGAATCTGACTGGATGATCTGGTGAACTGCAAAGTGCCTTGAGACGACGTGTTGTGAATTGGCGCTATAGAAATAAACTGAATTGAACGATTAGTGATTGTTCTGATTCTTATAACAAGCTTTTATATTGTGCTTAATTTTAAAAAGCCAACAAAACATGAACTTCAACAGGTTTGCAGACTTTTATACCAATTGCATCTCAAAAATGGCGGAATGATGTGAAAGAAGAGCATCAGGAAACAGATTTTCTGTGCCAATACATTTTAATCATGGGACTGAGGAGTTGAAAACAGTTTCCATTATCTTCATGGATGTTTCCAACAATCATCGATACCGAGACTCTTCCAAGCTGAGTCCATCTTAATTCTTAAATACAAACCATAAAAGAAAAAAACATCAGTTTGTGCGACATTTAAAAATTCCTCTAAAACATCAGAGGGAAACCAGGTCCAGGTGAGATTAGCTGGTTCTATCCATGCTTCCAAAACAACCTGTAGCCGTTTGGAACATTGCTGAACTTCCAGACATGTTATTCATGTTGTAAAAACATTAAACCCAGGAGGTGTGGCTGTGTGATGAAGGACAGGCTGATAAAACCTTCCTCAATGGCTTAACGTTGTTCCTACAGTTCCTGTAGATAAAAAAAAATACTACAGCAGGAGCGTCGGCCCTGATAATTACGGTCGGGATCCTCAGACTGACGCCAGGAACCAAATAACCAGTTTATTTCATAAAGTGAACTAAAGGGCTGTAAATTTAAATGTTCAACATAATCAGCTGATTAATACGACTCTAGATTAGATCCATCTACGTCTGGGCTTAACTGAATGGACAGAAGGGAATCAGGAGCAAAGCGGCAGAAGTTACTAAACAGAAAAAAAGAAATCTTTCATATTTAAACTCATACATTTTGTTGGATAAAATATTTGTTTAATTAGAGGTCTACAATAAAGAGCATATGAAGAATATCTGCCTGGTTCTGAGTCATAATTGTGTCCAAGGAAACAGAGAAGCTCAGAGTGGATGTTCAAGTTTTATAGCTTGGACCGTTTCAGACCTTCAATGCTATGATTGAGCAACAACTCCGTTAAAAGTCGCAGAAACCGTCTTTGATGGTAAGAAATCAAACTGCAAACTGCCTAAGAAAATGAAGTTCATTTTCAATTATCTGTTGAATCTGAATATTTTGAGTCTTAAGCCTTTTAATCTAGAAGCTTCTAACTAGATTACTGGCTCTGATGGGATTACAGGCTCCAGGTGGAGATGGGTCATATTGCTACTTGATGCAGATTTGATTCTCTCCCAACGACTGCAGACGCCACCGATTTTCAGAAATAGGCACGTTTTTGATCAGCTTGGAGGGGGCGGGGCCTTTGTTGGCTTCTTGTTCGGGGCTTTAGCTTAGCTGCCAAAGCCGAAGATGCCCTTGATGTAGCCGGTCAGGCCGCCTTTGCCCTTTTGCTCCACCTTGTCATCCAGCGGTGGGAAGGCCACGTGGTTGAGGGCAAGGTCGAAGAACAGAGGCTTGCAGGGGATGGGCTGGAACTCGGGGGGGAACTGGACCAGACTGGGGTGTTTTCCAACCAGAGTCTTGTCCAGGTGGAAGTTGTCCAGGTGCTCACACAGAGGCTGAGGAGAAGCACACACAGTTTATTACAGACTGCCAGATAACTAGGTTCCACTAAACCAGGGGTCGGCAACCCGCGGCTCTTTCCTCCTTATACTGCGGCTCTGAGTGGCTTGTAAAAATAAATTACAAAAAAAAACTAGTATTTAATATAAGTGTATTTTATTTGTGTTAGTTCTTTAATATTTTATTCCTAAATTGGAGGATTATTGTGATCCATGAACTACATTAAGAACAAACACCGCTAACGCCTCACAGAGGACAGCTTACAGTCCTGCGTAAAGATGAGAGTGACTTCGTACAGCCCCGATTTGCAGACGCTGTGCGCAGAGGTTCAGGAGCAGAAGTCCCATTAACCAGGTTAAATAAATATTTATGCAGATATTTATTTTTCATTGTTTAGTGACAGTTCTTTTTTCCCCCCAATTTATTTTTGAAATTCAGGTCAAGGCTCCACAACATTAACCTGACGCCACCAGATGGATTTGCTCCGCATATCCATCTGGAAACCTTCCGTTGAAGTAATTTTGGGAAGGGGCGAAAATACTGGTTAGCTGATTGGCCTAAGTTGGTGATAGACGGGCCAAATAAACCAATCAGATCAACGAAGCATATGACGTACTAACAGAGCGACAACGAAGAGGAGCCAATTGATAGATCAAACTCTTGCCGAAACCAGTCGGGAGAAGAAATACTCTGTAATTCCGATAAAACTTGCTCGATAGCCACGCTAATGCTAGTTTAATCGGCTGAAGCCGCCATGTTCTTTAGACTGAACTGTCGCGCTTCTCTTTGCGTCACACCTCAACCCGCCTCAAAGCCAACGCTGATTGGACGTTCGTTTGGTGAACGGCTCCAAATTTTCTTTAACGGAGAGTCTCCAGACTGATCTGCGAGTGAAACCTTGAAAGCTCGCGAGATCAGGATGGTCTCACGAGGCTACCACAACATGCTCTGAAAGCCCAAAGGCGATATAAGGACGACAGCTCACGGCATTTTTTTTGCTTTTGTTTGCTACATGGATAATTTAAGTTCAGCTTTTTAATTTATTTGAAAGAGACATTCAGACATTGTATTATTTTTTTCAAGAATTCAAAATGTTCAAAATGTGTTCATTAGATAAAATTTTATTTTCTCTGTAGCACTTCGTGGATTTCTACGGAAGAGGATTAGGGCCATTGAAAAAAAAATAAAGTTAACTGATTTTTAAATTTCATTTCCGTTTAACATGGGAAAAAAGTCAGAATTCTGACTTTTTTTATTGTCAGAATTCAGTCAGAATTCTGAGAAAAAAGTCAGAATTCTTTTCCCCCCATACTAAACTGAAATAAAATTTAAAAATCAGTTAACTTTATTTTTTTTTTTACACTGGCCCTAATCCTCTTCCGTAGATTTCATAAGCAACACACTTCAGTTGTTTATATAAAGTGTAAAGGTAAGAAAAATCTATATAAGCCACCCTAGCTTATAGTTAGAGTGGCTCAGGTTATCCTGAGCTATCTCTATAGTTATGCTGCTATAGGCTTAGACTTTTGGAGGACATAGGGACCCCCATTTCATCATTCTGCTTCATTCTCTCTCTGTTCTCCTATTCTGCAGAATCTGTTAGTTCAATCTCTAACCTTCTGCTCTCTCTGCTTTTCCTCAGAGTAGCTTTGCCTCGTCTGTTCCTGTTTGGCTGTGACGTCATCCTGGAAAAAAACATCAGCTGTGCTGCTTCTATCAACACCCTTGTTAATAGATGTTGGAGATCGGCCTGTTTTCCAGTGTGGTCCTGTTTCTCTGACCGTGACTGAGTGGATGTGCTCTCTTCGTCCTCTGGCATGGGAGCTGCCTTGGAGCTCGTCTGCCTGGCTGTGTGTTTCCTGGACGGGGCCGCCTTTTACAGCTGCTTTTTCTATCTCTGCTTCTGTCTCCTTGAACCCCAGTCGGCCTCGGCAGATGGCCGCTCACACTGAGCCTGGTTCTGCTGGAGGTTTCTTCCTGTTAAAAGGGAGTTTTTCCTCTCCACTGTCGCTACAATCATGCTTAGTGTGGGGGATTGTATTTGAGTCAATGAGTCAATGCAATCAACTGGTTTTCCTTAGATAGAAAACTTTGTATCAATTTGACTGTATGATCTGGTTGAACTGTAAAGTGCCTTGAGATGACATGTGTTGTGAATTTGGCGCTATATAAATAAACTGAATTGAATTGAAATTGAATTGAATATAAACAGTGTTATCTTCATTTTAGATTAGATGATAGCCCATCTTCAAAAGGTTAGTCTAAGCACTAATAAGTGTTCTGTACGGCTGGGGTGAACCCCTTAGCATTAAAGGGAAGTTGTTGTTTTTTTTTTTATATTTTTTCTTTCCATTTAATAAATGCGTTCATAAATAAATACATTTTAGATGTCAAAAAGTATTTGCGGCTCCCAGTGTTTTTTTCCCCGTGGAAACCGGATCAAATGGCTCTTTTGGTGTTAAAGGTTGCCGACCCCTGACCTAAACATTTTAATGGGCCGCACCAACTGCTGCTCACAACAACAAATATTAGCCACTACTTCTGGACACAGCCAGGCTCCGAAATAAGATCAAGCATAAGTTGCTTGATGAAAAAAGCAAAAACGTCCAAGTTGCAACAATAACTTCTAACTCTGCGACTTCAACTTGTTTAAAAGTGAATTACATCCGCCTCCCTCTAGCGGCTTAAATACATTTTATTCTATAACGTCTGTAACAAACTAAATCTACTCTCACTTTCCTGCGCTTCCTTCATGCACTACTTTAACTCCTCATTGAAGCCTTCGCTATTCTGCTGGTGGAAATGTGAGGAATGTGATCCGCAGAGAGGAGAACATGTTCTGGAGACACTCTGCCTTTATAACATTTCATTCAAATATGTTCATTTTTAAAAAGGGTCATTGTTGGATTAATCTGTTGAGCAACAGCAGCTGTTTGTTCATTTACAGATGAGCAACGTGTTAGCATCTCAAAGATGGTTAAAGGTAGCTCTGTCCCGTCATGTTTTAACCCGTTTTCTTCATCAATGTGTGGTTATAATGAGCACTGGGCGTTCCCACAGCAGCGTATGCAAATATTTGCTGGTATGCATTTTTCTACATAACACTGTTACATCGGTGCAGAAGCCGAGAGCGATCATACTAAACTTTTTTTTCCTTTGCCTTCTGGATATAATGACATAACTTTCTCGCTATCGGAGTTAAACCATTAATTGTTTTCTCGGGATAAAACTTATTGATTTCTAGAGATAGAGATGATTAAGCTGTCTGAGTAATGAATGAGGCTGACCAACAGTGCTGGAGTCCCAGTCCATCCATTCCTGCTGGGAACATAGTTTTGTAGTCGCAGTACCGCATGTGTGCAAATAATCCGTTTTTTTTTTGTTTCCTTTTTCTTTTCGCTCATTGTCAGGTCGCGGTGGTTTTCCATTGGAATGCATGGAATTCAGTAGAAAGACATTAGACTGTTTTATTGAAAATCTTTAATCTTGACTAATTTTTGGGGGTTAATGCATCTTATATCTGTTCCAGGCGTAACACTGTTGTTCTGTCAGACCAGCATACACATATATACCCGTCAATACCCTTTTATCCCTTTAGTTTACTACCTCAATGGGCGAGTATCCCTTTAGACATGTAGAAAAGCAACAGTTATTTTTGGTGTTTTTTGAAGCATATGGCGATCTAAATTGTATTTTTTTTGTATATGACTAAGGGGATACATGCCCGCTGAGGTAGTTTAAAGTCTGTTTTTCATACAAAACTAAAAGAATAAATGCAAACCCGACGTATTGCACATAAATATTGACTATGGGTATGCTGGTCTGACGAGGTATTCTCAAGCAACAGAACACCGAGGATGTTCAGAAAACACGCGGCACTAAATGCTTATAAAACAGGAGTGGAAGAAAATCATCCAACCAACAACGTCGCCTCTTTGCCTAAAAGTTAAACACTGGATTATTTACAGAATGACACATAGGCTGCCATGATTTATAAATCGTCTCCCGCTGATTTAGTATTGAAGGATGGAATTAGTTTTAACACCCGCCAATCATCTCGTTATGATGAGAACACAGCTTTGGATATCTTTAGATAATGAGAAAATTAACACCGTTTTCTTGTAAAAAACCACGGTGAAAAAGTATCGGAGGGACACGACTGCTCTCGGATTCTGTACATCGGTACCGCTGTGTTCTGATCTCATTTTAACAGAAATCTGACATTTAAAGGAAAAGTCGCTCATATTCAGAATTCAAACTTCTGAAAGCTCTTTAAATCTGAAATTATTCCATCCTGTTCAATAAATGATCAGTGTTTTTAATTCAGAGTAATTTTCATGTGAATGTGCTTTACTGGAGGCATCCATGTTTGTCAAAGAACACTACTGCCACCTACTGGTTAGTGACATTGTCACGGTGCGGTATCGGCTGTTGATCAAGTCCCAGTGCTGTATCTGGTGTTTGTCACAACGCGCTATTATCCAAGTCATCTTGAAAACATTTTTCTTCCAAATGTTGGCTACATATTACGGGTTTTTTCTCTGGCCAGAAGTTCGATGGCAAATCCTCCCTCTTCAAGTTGGCAATCCGTGATCGCAATAAAAATTATTATTTTTATTTGTTTACCGATTAACGCTAAATTCATGAAATCACCGCAAACGTATTAGTTTTAGGTATAAATAATGACCCATTAATCATTCCTTGCTGATCGGACTTTTCCCTAAATGGAGATAAAGTTTGTAAATCTACCGTAATTTTCGGACAATAAGCTGCAGGTTTTTTATGTTTAATTACCATATGGTTCGTGCACAGAGAGGCAACAGTTTGGGGACGCTCCGATTTATTATCATTTCAACACAATTTGCATATTTGCAATTGCATATTACGTTTGTTTTCCATAATGAGGGTGTCACACAAACTGTCTTGTGCTCGCAATGTCCGTCTTTCTCGCCGTCGTTCTGTCTAGTACCACTCGCGGTAGAAGTCTGCTTCTGGAGGATCGTCCTTGTGTGTGGAAGCAAATGTGACGTCAACATGGTGGATGGTAAAATCCATAGATTTAGGTATTACCCTAGTGGCCAATAGCTGTAAAACTCCATAGATAAGCCGCATTGTTATATAAGCCTCAAGTTCGAAAAATGGGGAAAAAGTCACGGATTATAGTCCGAAAATTACGGTAGTTGAAAATGTCTTGCATTACTTTGTTTGCTTTGCTCTCCATTCAGTTTGCTTTGAGAGGAGGAATGAATTTTTACCAGGAAGCAGCTGGTTGAGGGAAACCTTAACAGATCTGCTGCTTTAATTTTAGTGAAAGTTGATTAGTCAAAGTGTTGACTCAAGGATGGGAGAGAGTGGGACCTGAATATAAATGCATGCGGCACTTTGAAGATTTTTTGTTGTAAACATTTTGTAACCCATAGATCATTTTCTTTTTTGTATAATACATTACTTTATGTTGGTTAAGGCCATAAAAGCGTAATGAAATACACTAAACCTGAAAATAATAGGTTATGTAACATGTGCTGGTGAAATGACGTTAAAATGTCTAGGTGCATAGAAACGTTTACGAGACACGAACGTATTAGTTTTAGCTATAGACAATGATCCATTGATTAGTCCTTGCTGACCGGACTTTTTTTAAGACTTTTAAACAAATATGTAGCTGCAGAGGGGAAGAGCAGGCCGAGCTTTCTCTGCTTCTTTGGAGATGTTAACCTCTGTCTCCACAGCCATAGGCTAGCTAAACTGGATTATAGGCTAGCTTATTTTTGGCCTTTTTAACATGTGACTATGCTCTGATCTAAACTGTTGGGTTACATTTTTGGCTGAAAGTTTAGCGTTGTCCAGCAGTTTCAAATCTAATAGGATCAGCCTCCACCTGAGACCAATTTCCTCCAAACAGTGTGAAATTCACAGCTGTCTTCTTACCCTGTTGTCTTTCACCTGCTGCTGAGAGCTAACTTCAGGCGTTTCATCAGTGTCTGAAACAGAACAACATCTATCAGGATCAAAGACACCCAGACAACATGAATCAGTGTGTTAAATCCCCCCTAAACGCACCCAGAATAGCGGCGGCCTGAAGCGAGTACTTCTCAGCGTTGACCTCAGCGATGAGCTCCTGGACATCAGGGAGATCCTGCACACATCGGGACGGTTATAAACGGATGCAGAAAGCAAACATTTGATCATGAAGGAACGCGCCGACACAAACCTTCAGGCTATTGTTCAGATTCTTGGCTTTGGACTGGACCTCCTTGGCATATTTCAGCACCCTCTCATACAGAACCAGCGCCTCGCTCCACTTCTTCACCAGAACATAAGACTGGGCTATGAAGAAACACCTGGAAGAAGAAGATGATGGAGTAGAAACAAACTGAAAATATTTCAGGATTTAACAAGCTCTCTAAAAACTGACACTACTACAGATCAAAAACATGACCTGAAGACCAAAAATAATTACAAATTTAGTTTTTAAGAAAATACATTTTTCTTTTGTTTATTTTAATATGGTGTGCAGGTCGTCAAACAAACATGCATTATGTTTTCTAATGCTGTACACGTTTGTATAATACATAGATTTATTAAATGTAAACATTTCTTTCAACAAAAATCGGGTCAAATTCCACGGCACCATTTGGCAGCTCGCTTAACGATTCTCTTATCGATTCCAGGCAGCACTAGAGCCTAGCGCTGGGCAGCACAACTTACTTCAAGTTTTTTACGCAAGTTACGCGAACGGCGTTCAGTAAGCAAGAACGACGTGACCAGGCGTAAGTCTAGAAAAGCAAAACAAAAACGGTCAAAGCGACTTAAAGTTTGGCTTCATTTTAAGGAAGAGAAAGATGGCAACAAGGCGCTTTGCAATCATTGTAAAGTCGCAATAACATCTGCAGGAGGAAATACATCCAACACGCAGAAACACCTGCGCACACAACATGGCATACATTTTAACGAATGTCGCGGTTTTGATGCTTCTGGACAGAAGCTAAAATTACGACCAGCATGGAAGGCAACTCTGGTGGTTAGTAGCTAGTTTTATATCACTGTAGTAGGATGCTTTTATTGTTTCTAGAATATCAATGCAACAAAACCTAAACCGCGCGTTGAAGCGGCGTGCGATGAATTCCACTATGTGACATTTAATCATGAACGCTTATATATTTCAGGCCAGATAGTCCTTTGTTAAAGTGGACTGCTCCTTTGTCTCATAGAAAAAGATCCTGTGTTGCCATATGAGTTTTATAGAACACTAACATTTTTGCATCTGTAGACATTTTTTTGGTCCAATATGGCTCTTTGAGCAATTTCGGTTGCCAACCCCTGCTGTAGACGATCATTTTAGAGTCTCTATTTGAGTAAAAAACACAACAAAAAAAACAGACCTGTAGGCCTTGTAGACCAACGTCTTGAGGGACACCTCCTTCTGGAAGGTGTGGTCATCCTCGAGTCCCTGCAGGGTGGAGAGCTCAGCCAGACTCTGCCAGATAAACAGCAGGAACACATCAGATTATCAAAGCGAGGGACACCCACAGCTGAAGGACAGTTCCCGACACCCACCTGCAGGATGATGTCGTAAAGCCGGATCAGATCTTGTGGGCGGGGCCCCCTCTTGTTCTCGTCAGCCCCGGTCTCCTTCAGTTTAGCCTGCAGGGTGTGAGCCATGCTCTCGTTTCTCTTCACCAACGTGCACAGCTTGATGTAGGTCAGATAACTGGGAAGGAAGAGCGACAGGAATCAGAGAATGGAAACCAGACCAAACCAACAGATCTAACTGATCAACAAACGTTTTCATGAACATGAACCACAGCATCAGGAAATCTGTGGACAGTCTATGAGCGAAGCACCAGCTGACAGCCTAGTCCTATTCTTACCTGTGCAGGAACTGAAGGTTGCTTATTTTCCCGCTTTCGTTATCAGAGCTCCTATCACGTTGTTTCTGCAAACATAGAAACATTTTTATTACTTTTTAACCCACATTTCTTAATTTTTATTGTTTAGACTAATTCACAGTGTTGCATTCTCTGGAAGTTCACTAAAAGAAGCTTCAGCAGCAGGTTGCAGCCATAAGATGTCGAATTGTTTTTAATAATGCCCAATTGATTTTAAACCAGAAAATGTGTTATTTTAAGATCAACTTAAGACAAGAAATCCTGCGAAGTGAAACTCTTAATGTCAGAATAGTTGGCAGCTTGGTCTCACCGCCTCGCTCTTCAGCTCCTCTCTCACAGCCTGGATGGTGTCTCTGCACTCGGCCAGCAGGGTCTCATACAGATGTTCTTTGGTCTCCTCATTGACGGCCTGGACAGAAAAAAAAAAAAAAAGCTTATTGATGACCGACTCTGAAGCAGAACAGAAGGAAGATCCTCATACTAAAATCAACATGGACCCAGAAACCTGATAATTCAAGCTGAATGCTCCAAAAACGGATCTAAAAATAAGAATATTTCTAATGGGAAATGTATTTGCCTTACAGTAGCAGCCAAAATCAAACACCAGCCGAATGGCAGCCAACTTCCAACCCCTGGATTGACTCCCTCCACGTCAACAACTCCCTTTTACGACCCCCCTTTCAGAGACAGACAGGTATGGGGCATTGCAGGCTAACAAAGAAGCCAAACGACCCCCATTCCAAAGGGGTGGACCCGTTCATCCATTTCCATTTTCATGTTTTCTGAATGAAAACAAGGCTTTGTTTTTTTTCCCACTCTATAAAACCTCAAACTCAACTTTATTTCTGACATTTTGAATTAAATAAGCTTCCTGGATGGGAAGCAAAATGTCTTCAAACTTGGAAGCAAAGTACAGTGGATTCAGGTAAATAAAAATATTCGCATACGACATAAAAACCTGCAGCAACAGATGTTGGATATGTGGAAATATGTTTAAATTAGGTTTTTAAACAAAATAGAAGTCCATATGAAACAAAATTGATATGATTTATATTTAAGTTGTAGGTTTGGTTTCATTTACTGGTTGAAAATAGTTAAAATTTAAATTAATGTCTGTAAAAAGTCACATTATTTCATTCATGCAGAACTCTGGTAAGGCTGCTAACTTAAAATGTCTGAACTTTTATGATCCTTTTTTAAATAATCAACAAGAACCAGAATTGAAATGAAGATTTAAACCCAAACTAGCACTGAACATTAAAGTATATCTATGATACAACATAGATTTTCAATATAAACAACCTCTCTGGAAAACAGGACATTTTTTCCCCCTAATAATTCTCTCAAACACATTTTTGTAAGTGAAAGAACCTGTAGTTTTACAATCTAAATATTTCAACAGAGAGGAGTAAAAGCCAGACTTTGACAGGTGTGTAACTTTAGGTATGTTGCAGGGCGGGCTCTCCGTGCATTCCTGCACATCGCTGCTGCGGAGTTTCAGGCTTCAATCTCAACATTTGTTCTCCTGTTCAGCCGCTTCTCACTGACAGTCAGAAAAAAAGGCTTAGATGTAGAGCGGAAATGTTTAACGCTTGAATAGTTACTATCAGAGCATAAAAAAACAAACAAACCTCAAACTGCTTTTTTCCTAAACCAGAAGATGAATTCAAGCAGAGTAGAAACCAGGAGTATAAATGAATTCATTGCAGTCATCCTCCAGGTTTTAGGCCTTATTGTCCTCTTCTAAGAGTCATATAATCCCTGTGATCCTGGTGGCAATAAGGCAACATTCACACAGCAGCCCCAAGTGACCCAGCCCCGATTCTTTTTGCCCATATGGGACCTGGATCTGATCTTTTCATGGCACTGAACGACACAGACTTGGTTTTTCCCCCAATGTGACCCAGGCCACCTGGCTCTGGGGTCCTGAATCCGATGCGTATCTGATCATTTCGAATGCATTCATCCAACCTGTACGCCATCAATACCAGACAAAAGTCACTGTTCTGCGCCTTGCTATGCAGAAGTGGGAAGAAAAAAAAACAACCATGGCAAAGCAAAAAAAAAACTGATTTCACAAAAAAGAATCGGAATTGAGCATCAACGCCTGCAGTGTGACCGTAGCATAAAGGCCTGGTTATCCTCCCGCAGCAGTGCGTCACAGTTAGCTTGTCGGAGGTATGAAGCAGATAATTTTGATTTATGCCCAATTTTTAAGCGTGGTCTGTGCTATTTTATTCCACGCCACCACGCAACACAAGAGGGACAATCAGAAGGTATCTGTGGGTCTAGATGCGGCCGAGGCAGTGAGGAAGTGAAGGCAAGTTTGAATGATAACAGAAGGACATGACAGCTAAAACAAGTGGGAACCCAGGCGGAAAAAGTGTCCCAGCGTTCCCGCCCACCTCGATCTTCTAGCTGGTCCATCTTCGCAAGTCATTTTTTATAATCGTGGTCATACAAACAGAACAAGCCGGTAAGGTACCAAACAGGAAATACTAGGGGTGGAACGGTTCAAGGTTTCGTGGACACGCTTTTCGGTTCGGTACATGTTGATTGTTAGCCTGACATGTTGGTCATGTTGCTGTTAGCATAAACAAAACGTGTTGCACAATGCTTGCACACTGTTGCACTTTTATCCACAACTTTCTTTCCGCCGTCATCGTAGGTCACTCTAAATGCAAAGTGGTCCCATACAGCAGACCTATAAAGTGCTGCTGGCGCGTCTTCCAACTCCCGTTCTTTCCCACTCGCCATACCCACACAATTCTCCACAACAACTGATTTTTTTCTGCTACACCCGGCTAAGCTGCTTCGCTTCTTCTTCTCCTTGTTTACTACTGGTGGTTGGCTTTGGTCGCAGTACCGCCACCTTCTGCTCTGGAGTGTAAAAGCTTTGCCTATGAGAAAAAGGAGCAGCGCATGAACCGAACGCAACACACGCGAACCGAACCGAGACAGTCGAACCGAACGGTTCGGACGGTTTTCATAAACCGTTCCATCCCCAGGAAATACGTATCGTGTAGAGTGGATGTAGAATTGACCAATCAGAGGCCTCCTGTCTGCAGACACCTACAATTTGGGAGAGGTGCAGCAGAGTGTCTGCGGAAGGGGGGAGGGGCATATCTGCGTTCACTACAATACACGCAGACACCTGGTTTCTTTTTTTCTTTTTTCTTTTTAACAGTGTCCTGTCTGGCAATGTTGCAATAAGAATAATTGTCTTGATGCCAAAAAGAGCCCAACAGATTTTACTTTCACAAGTGGAGCAGTTTCGCAATTGCCATATTGCTCTACTTGTTTCATGCATATAAATTGCTTTATTATAATTATGCAGGGAGTTTTACAGTTTATATGGACACTGCAATGTAAACAGAGCAAAAAAACGGAAGAAAAGGGAAAAAAAGAGAAAAGATGAAAGAAAGAGGAGATAGAAAGGAGACGATGACAAAACATCTGGTTTCTAAGAATAAACCAGGCTTAATAATTTAACCTGGTTCTGCTTTTATTTGACTAAATAATGACTGGATACGGTGTTAGAGGTTTACCTGCCGAGGACCACACCCCCTTTAATAAACGTAAATTTTGATGAACGACCGAATCTGAGCTTTTGAAACCATTAAAAACAACAAAACATATAAAATAAACACGTTTCATTTCTATGTTTCAAAGGCCAGACCGTCCAGAGGAAGCAGGTTTCATGAGACCTTTCAAGTGAAGCGAAGTACCAACAGATGAGTCAAAAGTAGCTTTAATCCACCCAGGACCGTGACGTTACATACTTTCACCAACACCCTGTCGAAGCCCTGCATGACCTGCTGAACCGGTTGGGCATCCTTTGCTGTTCAGTCAGGGCTGGACACCTAATCTGATCAGAGATGGGAGAGGTTCTTCAGCGCAGACAGCTGTCTGACCCGATGTCCTCTGACCTCACCAAGTGTTGATGAGGTGCTAATGATCCTGCTGGGTGATATAAAGCCATTGGTGCATGCACAACAGAAAAGGACACCCAACTGCTGTGGCTAAACTTCAGATCAATATTCAGCTGTATAGTAATGGCCACTGTGGAGTATACTAACGTAACATCAGGCCCCCAAAGAGTCCCAAGAAGCAGAAAGGCGTTGAGTTTGTAACGCTGCTGCTGTTAGGTGGGGTCTGCTGAAATTCACAGAATGCAGGCGTGGGATGAGAGACGCTACATGCCTGAGAGCTGAGTGGACGAGGGTGTGACAGGTGTGCCTACAGGGAGGCTGCACGATGAAAGCAAGGAATGCTGGAAATGCTGATAAAAACCGCTGATTCATAGCAGAGGACAGCGCCACCCACTGATGGTTTCAGGAAGTGCATGGAAGCAGCTTGTATCTATTTTAGCTTTTAGCTGCACATTGATACTTGTTAAGGAATCACAGCTTTTTTACCGCATTTTGTTACCTAATTGTTTTTGAAAGTCCAATAAATAACCCAAGTGGGGATGGATTAAAAGTTGGACCGCGTTCTCACTAAATGGACACAGTCTGGCTCTCTGGAGCCTTAAAGGTCTGGCAGCAGCTCGCCTGAGAGTAGAGCAGGTTTCTACACACTGACTATTAATCAGGAGCCCTTCAGGGCTCTGTGGGAGAACAGACATGTTTTATGTTCACTAGAGGAAGATAATATTTATTATTTAATATTTAATCTGTTTGTGGTAATGGCTGATTTTTATTGTTATCGTGATAATGAAAACAGAGTTTGTACTCTGATATATCAGAACAACAAAATAAAACTTTCAAAGTCAGAATTACAATGAAACAACAAATAATTTCTCGAAAGAGAAGATTTAAAAACAGAGAGTGAATCTGTCTGCATGAATTTATTCCATGATTTCAGTGACAGAGGAAACTCTCTGCACTCTACAGACCCGCCTTACCTTCAGTGGTAGATTGGTAATGAACTGAAAGAGGAGTCAATATATAATTATCAGGGTTCCTGCCAGCAGATTTCAGCTTTCCAAGCTGCTAAAATCGAATCGTTCCCCCACTACGCTCATTTTTAATGAGCGTATCTGTTTTTTGACATCTGGACTTGGAATAATACACTGACTTAAAATGAAGCCAAAGCCCAAATAGATGGTTTTTAATAAAATGACCTCCTTATTTGCACTTATATGTATAAAAAGCACTGTAAAAATGTGAACCACGCCCCCTACAGCCTCTGTCATCAATGCAGATTGCTTGTAAGCAGGTGAACACAGAACTGCAGCCCTCTGCTCATTCTTATAGTTCACTCTCATACTTGACATACTTTTTTAAATATTTTCTCACCTTACGTGGGCTTGCTATGGCTGTCCGAGTTAAGCAGGATGCAGAGTATACACAAAATCCATTTAGAATCGATAAAAAAAAAATGCTTCGATTGTTTGCGAGGTCAGACCCGTTTAACACGGACGTGCTTGAAGTCACATCTGCTGAACTTCTGACCTGAAGTAAATTCAGGAAACTAGGCTGAAAAATGCATCGCTGCTGAACTACTGAGGCGTCAGTCTGCTCATCAAACAATGTTTCAGTCATTAAGAGTCTAATAAAAAGGCTATTGCAAAGATATTTGTCATTAAAACTTAATATCTCTTTAAGTAGTACAATTAAATGTCAGCAGAATTCCCACAATTAACTCAGAAAAATCAATAATCGATTGCTGAAAGTAAAAGAACAAAAATATATCAAGCTGGAAATATATATATATACAGGTGCTGGTCATAAAATTAGAATATCATGAAAAAGTAGATTGATTTCAGTAATTCCATTTAAAAAGTGAAACTTGTATATTATATTCATACATTACATACAAACTCATATATTTCAGATGTTTATTTTGTTTAATTTTGATGATTACAAATGACAACAAATGAAAATCTCAAATTCATCATATCAGAAAATTAGAATATTGTGAAAAGGTTCAAAATTGATGGCCCCTGGTGCCACACTCTAATCAGCTAATTAACTCAAACCACCTGCAAAAGCCTTTAAATGGTCTTTCAGTCTAGTTCTATAGGCTACACAATCATGGGGAAGACTGCTGACTTGACAGTTGTCCAAAAGACGACCATCGACACCTTGCACAAGGAGGGCAAGACACAAAAGGTCATCGCTAAAGAGGCTGGCTGTTCACAGAGCTCAGTGTCCAAGCACATTAATAGAGAGGCGAAGGGAAGGAAAAGATGTGGTCGAAAAAAGTGTACAAGCAAGAGAGATAACCGCACCCTGGAGAGGATTGTGAAACAAAACCCATTCAAAAATGTGGGGGAGATTCACAAAGAGTGGACTGCAGCTGGAGTGAGTGCTTCAAGAACCACCACACACAGACGTATGAAAGACATGGGTTTCTGCTGTCGCATTCCTTGTGTCAAGCCACTCTTGAACCACAGACAGCGTCAGAAGCGTCTTGCCTGGGCTAAAGAGAAACAGGACTGGACTGCTGGTGAGTGGTCCAAAGTCATGTTCTCTGATGAAAGTAAATTTTGCATTTCCTTTGGAAATCAAGGTCCCAGAGTCTGGAGGAAAAGAAGAGAGGCACTTCATCCACGTTGCTTGAAGTCCAGTGTAAAGTTTCCACAGTCAGTGATGGTTTGGGGTGCCATGTCATCTGCTGGTGTTGGTCCATTGTGTTTTCTGAGGTCCAGGGTCAACGCAGCCACATACCAGGAAGTTTTAGAGCACTTCATGCTTCCTGCAGCTGACCAACTTTTTGGAGATGCAGATTTCATTTTCCAACAGGACTTGGCACCTGCACACAGTGCCAAAGCTACCAGTACCTGGTTGAAGGACCATGGTATCCCTGTTCTTAATTGGCCAGCAAACTCTCCTGACCTTAACCCCATAGAAAATCTATGGGGTATTGTGAAGAAGATGCAATACACCAGACCCAACAATTCAGAAGAGCTAAAAGCCACTATTAGAGCAACCTGGGCTATCATAACACCTGAGCAGTGCCACAGACTGATCGACTCCATGCCACGCCGCATTGCTGCAGTAATACAGGCCAAAGGAGGCCCAACTAAATACTGAGTGCTGTACATGCTCATACTTTTCATGTTCATACTTTTCAGTTGGCCAACATTTCTATAAATCCTTTGTTTTTATTGGTCTTCAGTAATATTCTAATTTTCTGATATGATGAATTTGAGATTTTCATTTGTTGTCATTTGTAATCATCAAAATTAAACAAAATAAACATCTGAAATATTCTACAGGTGCTGGTCATAAAATTAGAATATCATGAAAAAGTATTTTGATTTCAGTAATTCCATTTAAAAAGTGAAACTTGTATATTATATTCATACATTACATACAAACTCATATATTTCAGATGTTTATTTTGTTTAATTTTGATGATTACAAATGACAACAAATGAAAATCTCAAATTCATCATATATATATATATAGTTTTGAAGTTCAAATTTTTTTGATTGAATAATTTTGACACAAACGTTCCACAGTGGGCGTGTGCTTCTCTTCTGTGCTTCTAAATCCTAAACTTATTAAACGCATAAATTTTAAACATTTAGCTTTAGTTTCCGTCATTATGTTTAAAATGATTAATCTTCTGATAAAATAGCTTCTGATGCAATATGAACTAATTACTTAATTGTGGGGATTTTCTTCAGGACTTGAAAAACCAGAGGCAGAGTTTAGATTTCTGTTTGTTTTAAAGGAGGCGTCTGCAAATGAAATAATAAGTTTAGCCTCGAAGGCAGAAGGTGGTTTCAGAAGTGATGAAATGTTGGGTTTAAACATCCTGACCTGAGCAATGGCGGCCTCGTTGTCTGCCAGACCCAGGAGGAATATCCGCGCCTTGTCGATCTTCACAGGAACGGTCCGGCCTCGCCACTCCACCTCGCTCATCGTGGCTGCCTGCTTGGTCCTTGCTTGAGTGATCAGGGCCTGAGCAGACGAGGGGGGGAGGATATACACCCATATAATTAAATTCTAGTCAGTTTATTTGTATAGCGCCAATTTTTAACACGTCATCTCAAGGCGCTTTCCAGTTCACCAGATCATCCAGTCAGATTGATACAAAGTTTTCTATCTGAAGAAAACTTCAGCAATCCCTCACACTAAGCATGCTTGTAGCGACAGTGGAGAGGAAAAACTCCCATTAAACAGGAGGAAACCTCCAGCAGAACCAGGCTCAGTGTGAGCGGCCATCTGCTGAGGCCGACTGGTTCAAGGAGACAGAAGCAGACATAGAAAAAGAAGCATAGATACAGAAGGAGCAGAGAGGTGTATGGGAATAACTATCTTGTACTGATGAAGGTCGACAATAAAAAAGATGAAACTCACCTTTCTTCTTCCAACTTTCTATTAATTTCTATTGTAGATATAAGTAGATATTAAATAACAGGTTTAAGGTTTAACTTTAAACATATTTCTCCAGTTGTTTTGTCGGCCATATCCCCAACCTGCAGATTTGTCTTGACACCCATTTTCCTAAATCACAGCCTGCTTTCCGAACCATCCACCTTATCAAAGGGATTCAACTAATCAGGGCACTTTGTTTCATTCTTCATCCTTTCTGATGTCTCTAGCAGCCATCTTTTATGATGGTTCCTCTCTGTCTGGGACATTGCTCAGACAGCTGCTGTTAATGGGAGAAGAGCTGAGCAAACAGTAGCTGAGAAGCTACTGTAACTCTAAGATATTTAAAGTTGCAGTATGTTAACTTTACCTCTATCTAGTGGTGTACTAGATGAATTACAAATAACCAAAAGGCGTGTTAAAGGAGAAGTCCGGTCACATTCAGAATTACCTACTTCTGTAGGTGAAATTATTCCATCCTGTTCAATAAATGATCAGTGTTTTTAATTCAGAGTAATTTTCATGTGAATGTGCTTTACTGGAGGCATCCATGTTTGTCAAAGAACACTACTGCCACCTACTGGTTAGTGACGTCACGGTGCGGTATCGGCTGTTGATCAAGTCCCAGTGCTGTATCTGGTGTTTGTCACAACGCGCTATTATCCAAGTAAACATTCTTCTTCCAAATCTCGGCTACATATTACGGGTTTTTTCTCTGGCCAGAAGTTCGATGGCAAATCCTCCCTCTTCAAGTTGGCGATCCAACGACCAACCCGTCCGTGGAGGATCAGGAATCGGAAACATCCAGCTGCCATGCACGTGGGCATTGTCAGTTTCACTATAGCTCTGGTGAATTTCAATGGTGAAGTCCTCTGGAAATCTTCAATAATTGTTGTTGATTGCAGATGTGTCTAGTAGTTCCCATTGATTTAGCTTGTAAAGCGGGGAGAATGGCGCTAGGCTTACCGCACCGTGACGTCACTGCTGGAAGATGGCAGGAGGGAGGGGCTACTATGTTTGGGCAAAAATGGCCGCTCCCACACTCAGTGACTCTCTGATCACGAAGAAAATTGTAATTTTTTTTAACTGATTAATGCTAAATTCATTAAATCATCGTGAATGTATTAGTTTTAGGTATAAATAATGACCCATTGATTATTCCTTGCTGATTAGACTCTTCCTTTAAGGTGCCCCCCCCATAAAGCATGTCAGAACTACTGAAGCTGTGGCGTGACACTATTCTTTTCGAATGGAGCTGAAACATTAACCTCCATAACAATTAGCTAAAATAAACAAAACACTTCTCTGAAAACGGGACAGAAAGAAGCCTAAAGTTGCCACCGAGTTTATATCTTGTGCAATAATCCCGACTGAAACACCTGTAACATTAAATGATCTACCGTATTTTCACGACTATAAGGCGCACTTAAACGTCTTTTTTTTCCCTCAAAATGTGCGGTGCGCCCTTTGGTGCGGTGCGCCTTATGTGTGTTGTAACTGCGACTTTTGAGACCACCTCATTGAGGAGATGATGAAAGAGTGGCTGAATGTAAGGAGACCAGGTGTTTTTTTTTTCCACTCATCACCATCGCTGTTAATATGTAACTCCATGCGTGCCCATCTCACAGCTGACGTGAAAAACATGGGGAAACAAATTAACGCTGTGCTCGCTGTTCAACCGCTCGACATCGGTGTGAACCGGACCCAGCAGGTGCAGCAGAAGCAGCAAGTTTACATGCAAAGTCAATGGTTGACGCGCGTATAGGTGCAGCAAAAGGTCCTGCAGGGCGTTTTGAGCTGCAGGAGCGTTTAAGCATCTGACGCACCGCCAACGCGCTGCTGCTGCTCGAGATGGAAAAATTGAAGTTTTGCTGCTGGACGCGCCGCATCAACCAATCAGAGAAGCTGATCTGGGAGCTGACAGCGAGACAGACACAGTGCTCTGATGACATATAATATTAAATGAAAAAGGCTGGATGGATGAGAAGATGATGAAAGGCAGGTGTATGTGAGGAGACCAGGTGCTTTTTTTCCACGCATCACCATCGCTGCGTGCCCATCTCACAGCCGATGTGAAAAAAAAAAGGTGAATCAAATGAACGCTGTGCTCGCCGTTATCCCGGGGGTCTGACAAAGGAGCTTCAAACGCTTGACATCGGTGTGAAGCGGCCGTTCAAAGTAAGGCTGCGAGCGGCGTGGGAGCGATGGATGACAGACGGAGACCACAGTTTCACGATAAGTGGAAGGCAGCGCCGGGCAAGTTACGCCACCGTTTGCGGATGGATTGTAGATGCTTGGACTAACGTGTCTGCTGACTCTGTTGTTCAAGCTTTCGCAAAAGCCGGCATTATTTCTGAGGAGCCGCGCTGCACGGAAAGTGACTCTGACAGCGAAGAAGGGGCATGTCTGATGTCTGATTTAGCGCAGCTGTTTAATTCAGAAACAGAGGATGATGACTTTGATGGGTTTGATTAATACTTTGTAATAAATACATGAATAAAGCACAATCATACTCAGTTTTGCTCCCGCTCTATTTTTCTACCTGAAAACTTAATTCAACAGCAGCCTCTGGGCGGGTCTCCTCCTCTTCACCGCGGCGGCTGGCAGGTGTTTTTTCATCTAAATAATCTAAATCTTGCAGCTATATTTGCTGTGATCAGTGGGAATAAAGTAGTTTTAATATGTTTTTAAGTGAGAAAGTCCACCTGAAAACTTCATAATTGCAGTCAGTTCATCCAGATTATCTATTTCTGTCGGAGGCGCTCAGACCCCCACATACCAGCGGTGCACCGACAGTAGAAATCGCTTCAACAGCAGCCTCTAGGCTGGGCAGCCTCCGGGTTCACGCGGTGGCTGGCAGGTGTTTTTCATCTAAATAATTTAAACTGCAGGCACCAGGATACCGGCAATAAAAGCGAACATATTCCGTCGGCAGGTTTCAGGATTTTAAGTTAATTTAGGAGTGATCACAGCGCTGTGTCATCTGCGATGTGTCTGTCTCACGGCCAGCTGCCAGGTTTGATTAATACTTTGTAATAAATACATGAATAAAGCACAGTCATACTCAGTTTTGCCCCCGCTGTATTTTTAAATACGCAGTAGAGGTATTTAAATGTAGTAGAGGACATGTACCGATATATAAAACCCGCGCCCTATAATCCGGTGCGCCTTATGTGTGTGTTAAATACAGAAATGGCACACATAACTGAGAGTGCGCCTTTTAGTACGGTGCGCCTTATGGTCGTGAAAATACGGTAGATGTACTCAGTGATCACCTCTAGCTTTTCAGCCATCATGCCTCCTCCTCCTCCAGTCAGCCTCATCTGCATCAAGTCATTGATGGCATTCTGGTCACCTGTGGTTTCATAATGAAGAGCAAACTTTATCAGACTCTGGTAAATAAACAACGATCCCATCTAAACCTGTGGATCTGTGTGAGCTAATCACCTATGTTGTAAGCACAGTAGCGGATGTTGGGCGATATCTCGTCCACACGCTGTCGATACAGGACCGCCAGCTCCTCGGTGAAGGCGCTGGCCAGTTTCTCATAGATGGTCCTGTGAAGAACAAGGGGAAGTTCTTTTATTCTTGTTCACGGTCTGGAAATCAGTCTGGAAAATGAGAATCCACCACTTTAGTAATTAGATTTGGGCTAAAACTTACTTGCACTTGTTGAAGGCCTCCATGGCAAGCTTCCACTCCTGCAGCTCAAAGTGAACCATCCCATTCAGGTACGCAGTGTAGGCCTGGAATACCAGAACAGAAACCAGCAATGACTAAAAACCATTTCATTCTTTACTACCGACGAGCTAAAAAAAGAAAAGTTCAGCAAAATGGGAACTAATTTTACCAGCGACTCGCTTTCATCTCCCTCTAAAGCATCTTCGTACCTGTGCTTCTAGCTTGGTCTTGGCGTCGACGCGCGGGCTCTCGCAGAGCTTCTCCAGCTTCTCGCTGTGCTTGGCAGCCTTGCGTAATCGGGCGAGCAGGTGGAATTTCTTCCTCGGTTCTGTGTTGGCCTCCTGCTTCAGCTGCATGGCGTAGCTCCAAGCTCGCTCTGCCTCCATCAGAACCAGTAACAGATACCTGCGGGTAGAAGGCGGCTTAACGGCTGCAGTCCAATGACATTTTAACACTTTAAATCTGGAGCAGTTTATTGGTTAAACTGTTGCGACCTTTAGGACCTATCAATACGACCCTTTGGATGATAAAAGGTTGAGAAAAAAAAAAAAAAAGGATAAAATCAAGCTTTATCAACAGTTCATTTCCCCTTCTTTTACTATTACTTCTAAACTAGAGACCTGACCAGAACGTAACTGTTCATTTGATGTTTTATCGAGAACTAATCCAGGGTTAAATTTAAGACTAAGACTTTTTAATGCCACTTGAAATAAAAATTTAAGACCAAATTCACAAGAAACACAAGAAAAACCTGCTTGCGACAACTTAACCCAAAGGTTTATTTTAACATAAACCACTGCACTAATGTTTCAAATGTTGAAAAGCTTCCCATACAGGAAAAAAGCTAAAAACAAACAAATGACAGATATATTTTAACAATTATTTAACTGAATTCACAAACTTTGTTTTAGCAGGGAACAAAACAAATCCGTTTTAAAGCCCCAACATAACCAGTGCTAAGTCTTTTTTGCAGCTATTTTTCTTTGTATGGTTTTCTTAGTATGTTTGATTTGGTGATAAGTGGAGGCGTTGCAGAGACAAGGGTGGAACAAAACTGAGAAATACCGGCTGTTTCTCTGTAACTCCATTTTGACGCTTTGTGCTTCGTGCTTCGCATGTGTGACTCCACTGCCTTAATTCCCATCGTTCCGAGCTTGAATGACTTCTTGCACAAATCCACTGAGCCTCATGTATGTTCCCTGGTTTTAGCCATGGAGAAAACTCTTGGCTGGAGACAATTTTGGTTACATTTACACTTGCTCATATTTTCCAGATAAAAAGTTAATGGTGCATCTCCCAAATGTCCCGGCCGCAACAACGCTTTATTGATTCCGCTATCGGGACGGAACCAATAATGGAGAGCCATCATTTTTGTCAAATTGTCAGTATTAATGTTTTATTTAGATTACAAAAATAAATCGTAAAAAAAATAATCCTATTTATGATGTTTTAAAAATTAAGACCTACGAAAGACTAATTTAAGACATTTTAATACCAATTAAGGCCTTAGTTTTATTTTGAAGAATTCAATGCCTTTTAAGACTTTTTAAGGACCCGCAGGAACCCTGTATCAACACGACCCTCCTGGTTGATAAAAGGTTGGAAAAAAATTAAAAATAAGTATAAAAACAAGCTTTTATCAACAGTTACTTTTTCACTTCCCCTTCTTTTACTGTTACTTCTAAACTAGAGACCTGACCAGAGTCTAACTCTTCATTTGATGTTTTATCGAGAATTAAACTGTTTCCTAATATGTATGATTTTCTCTGTTAGTCTGCAGTTTTGCTCCAACTGCAGGATTTGTGATTATGCAACTGGCTTGTTGCAACCTTAGACGCATTTTCTTCATTTGCTTTGGGACACTATAAGCTCTAGGTTTAAGATTCCCTGTTGCTAGCGTAAAAGAAATATGAACGGTATACATAAAGAAAAAAAAAACAAAAACAAAGTGAATTTAGGGAAACTAGCTTCTCTTTTCACTGAAATATTTTTATTTTATATGATTAACTGTGTATACAGATATTTTGCAAAATGCTCTTATTTATCTGCATAAATGCATAATTAAATTAACTTTTATTACTGGAATCAGCCGAGCTGCATCTTCAGTTGGTTAAATATTTTTCTTCACTATTGATAATGATTTTTTCTTCCTTTACCTTTATTCCTAACAGAAAACAACAACTATGAGTATTTTAAAACCAAACCATGAATAAAAATACCCCAATACCAACCTGCTATCAGAGAGGATTTCCACGGTGACTTTCTTTCCAACAAACTTGTGTCTGTTGCCCATTTTGAAGCCAAGAGTCTTTCGAAGCCGCCGCAGCCTTCGAGAGCAGTAGCCCCTGAAAGGAACAACAGCATTATTTTATATAAAATATTATTATATGCATTCACTCTTTTTAACCAAAGAATACTGTAAAGGTAATTTATCTGCTTGCCTTATTTTCCCCGACTACCAAAAGCAACAAGGAGAAACTGAGTTGTGTAAAATAGGAGCTTCTTTCCTAAAGATAATGTACTAACTTATGACATTTAATCATATCTAGACTCTTAAGGTGGAGTCACATCGGTTGCATACGGCCCTTTAAACAATGATCCAATTTTTTCCCCCATGTAGCACTGCGTGCATATAGAGAGGCTCTGACTATGCAGGGTAAGCAGATCCCGATATACACATTTTTTTTCCACTTCTGTGCCCTACGGATTGAAACCCATGACTAAGAAAGATTATAAAAATTTAAAAAACAGCACGGCTACAAGGTAAACCTCACTTCATGACCCGACTGCTGCGCAGCATCTCACCAGAACAGATTTTGGATTTTATTAGACTTATATCAGAAACATAATGGGAACTACGTTTGAAAGTAAAGAAAAAGCAGCAATAAAGTCGCTGGGACGGTTTATATGGGTACTGGGTGAGACCGAGGTGATTATCAGAGATCTGTGAAGTTGTGTTAAGTTTTTTCCACTTTTTTTTTCATAAAGAAGAAAGAGTGATGGCTGGAATTTCTACAGTCCCTCTTTGTTATTGTGAGGCTCAAATAGGATCACTGCTTATTCCCTTTTCTGTCCTTCTGAACGTCCATCATGGGTAATGTGTTGTTTTATTTTGTAAGAACAAGTCTACCTTGCTTGTTATACATGCGCGGTGTGACTCCAAAACCTGATTTGTTCCCGCGTGATTAACAGATTTTATTTTGTATTTTCCCCTCAAAGTGGAAGCGTTTCACTTTATAAACGCATCTCCCTTCATGTCAGACCCCCAATATCTGCAGTACTGCTGCGTAATCTGACCAAAACAGCCCTGGGGTCTATCTCAGTCAGAGCTACAGAAGCCCCCTTCAGAAGTCCATGTCTGGTGTGCATCCCCATCCACTTTTAATGAGCACTAAACGCCATGACCTCATCTGACTTGACTTTCTGCCGGATCAGACGCAAAATTTGATTTGTGTGTTAAAGGAATAGTACACCCAAAACATGATTAGCCTTCATTTTCTACTCACCTCCATGCTGAACAACACTCTGGAGTACTTTTTTGATATCTCAAATGCATCTGGAGATCTGGGAGGCTTCTTGCTGTCTGCTGACATTCAAATAATGGAGGTCCATGGCGCCCGAGACAGAAAGGTCCATAAAAGTCCACAAAAACATGTCAATATTCCTCCATACTGCTCGTCCAATGTAATCCAAGTGTCCTGAGTGGGTAGCATCCAGAATTTACTCGAAACGAAGTCATTTAGAATGTTTTTAGAGCATAAACAGTAGTGTATAGGATTTCCTAATAGCGCCCCCATGCGCGCTCGCGATTCTACGGAAGCCGGCAGACCAAACCAGCGCATTCAGCTCGGCAAAGAACTCATGCTCTTCCTCAACACTGAAGTCCTCAGACATTTTTCTTTCGTTGTTTCTTTCTTTGCACAGGTAAACAGCACATTTCTTCTTCTACGCTTGCATTATCGGCAGACCAGACGCTGAATGCGCACTTTCTTCCGGTTTGGTCTGCCGGCTTCCGTAGAATCGTGAGCGCGCATGGGGGCGCTATTAGGAAATCCTATACACTACTGTTTATGCTCTAAAAACATTCTAAATGACTTCGTTTCGAGTAAATTCTGGATGCTACCCACTCAGGACACTTGGATTACATTGGACGAGCAGTATGGAGGAATATTGACACGTTTTTGTGGACTTTTATGGACCTTTCTGTCTCGGGCGCCATGGACCTCCATTATTTGAATGTCAGCAGACAGCAAGAAGCCTCCCAGATCTCCAGATGCATTTGAGATATCAAAAAAGTACTCCAGGGTGTTGTTCAGCATGGGGGTGAGTAGAAAATGAAGGCTAATCATGTTTTGGGTGTACTATTCCTTTAAGGGATTAAAGGCTGATGTTTGCTGGGAGACCAACCCACTAAAGAGTCAAATAGAACAAAAGCGTACAAGTTAAATATGCAGATTTTGCTTTTAATACAAGACACAAGTTTTGGTCTGTTAATATTCTCCATCTAAGGCTCTTAAAGTGGCACGGTGTTAGCTAAAAATCAGGTAAAAAAAAACTCATATGAAACACCCTTTGTTACCCGATTATTAGTTATTCAAAGAGAAATAAACGGTCAACAGTTATAGAGCTTAGAGCCCCTGTCACACCTTGACGATTAAGCTAGCGTATGCCAGCGTTCTAGGAGATTCTGGGACAGCAGGCATACGCTGGATAAATCATCAAGGGGTGACAGGACCCAAAGCAGCTTCTGTTTACCATTTATTTCTAATTAAATAACTAATAATTAACTTTCTATGTATTTTTTCCAACTCCGGGTGTATACATAACATATTCATAATGAGTCCAGAACTTATGTCCAACAACATCCTAAATTCTGCACAACGCACCGCAGCGTAATGCCCATGAAATGATGCACAAGCCAGTGTCCTGAGGGGGCAGCAATGATCCAGCCTGCATAAAAAAGATTTATTTGATCATGGTATTAACTTAGCTGTGGTTTACGCCCCCCCCCAAAAAAGGAAAAAGGAAGAAAGAAGGTTTTAGGTGTCAGCAGATTGAGCGCCATGTCTGCTTGGAAGTGTGTTGGTGGTGGGCGTGAACGCAGGGAGGATCCATCAACTTCACCTTCTGGCTCACCCTATGATGGGGATGAAGTCTGGAGGAGAACTGACGGTTTCCTCCTGTGAACCCCCTTTATACCAAAACGCTGCCAATACGCCATTAAACAGAAGCTGGAAGTCAGAAACACCTTCAGCGCTCGTCTGGAAAACATCAGATACTTTTGTAGAGAAGTTCTTGATTAGTAAAGCACAAGTTACTCAGAGGTTTTGGATAAGCTAGACGCCATGACTGATGAGTAACTTGCACTTAACCGTACGTGAACCACCAGATAACTGACCTGTAACTTATGGTCTCAACATACTTGCCATATGTTGACATGTGTCAGCGTGTTTCAGCGCACTCATAACACACAAAAAGTACCCATAACTTATCAAATGTATGCCAGCGTTTTTGCCACATTTTTTCATGCATCAGTCATAAGCTGGTCTAACTTGTGAAGGTTTAACAGGGGCTTTAGTAAAATCATTGTTACAGCTCTCATTTCGTTTTTTTTTTGTTTTTTACACATTTCTTTTTTTTTATCATGTATAATATATTTAAAATGTGCACGGTTTGATTTTAAGTTGTCAAGTTATGTCAAATCAATAAGATTATCTCTGCTAGTTTTATTACTTAAATAATTGACAGCTAAAATCTCAGACATCTTAAGTGTTTCTAGATGGTTTCTATATTTAAACAGACAGAACAGGAACATAGACATAAAGTGACAGACCCTGAACACCCATATGTCTCTCTGGAAGTGTGAAAGCTCACCTGTATCTTTGGTAGTCTCCATGTCTGAGGCCATGCTGCTGCTGGGACTCCTTGATGATTTGCAAAACTGTGATTCACTGTTAAGGGTTAGCTTTTTTCCCCCTCCATCAGTACACATTTATGAACCCATGAAAAGGCTGATCCAAGTCTGAATACATGTGCAACGTTGGCACTAAATCAGGGGTCTCAAAATCTAGTGGAGGGTCGATTTCCTGCTACTTTTAGCACAATAATTACATCATTAGCAGACCTGGCTGAACGCTGAGGAGTTAATTCAACCATTTGATTCAAGCTTGAGGAACATCTAAAAGTTGCAGGACATCGGCCCATCATGACAGTTGTTTTACACCCTGCTTTAGATGAATGAACCAAGAAAGTCAGCCTGGAAACGTTACTCTTTAAATTAATGTTAGTTTTCAGTCTACGTTTCGCTTTAAACGTAAATTGCATGTCTGTCGCTAATTAAATTAAGGTTCAGCGATGTCAAAGCAATGTTTAAACAAAACGAGATTCAATGCCTATGACGGACAGACAAATGACACGTAGCCTAACCAGGCTAACCATTTCTAGTACGTTACCTAGCAGCTAATGCTAGCAGCTAATGTTAGCTGCGGAGCCACGGCTCCGCTAAGTGAGAAATAACTCCCCTTAGAGCAACGTCGTCACGTGAAGGATACTTTCGAGGCCCAGACCTCCTTCATGTAGATTTTCTTTATTTTCTTCTGTGAGAGAAGGTTTAGCTTCGCTCTGCTTGTCCGCGGCCATCTCTGCGAAGCTACCAGCTAACCTCAATCAAACACACACGCTCAGAATGCAGCAAATCAGACCGGAGGGAGGCTGGAATGGGTTAACATCGCGAGATATGACGAGATACACGTTCTTGTTTGTGAGATTGACTGACGTTTGGTCTACATCTTGAAGGTGCATTAGCGCCACCTATTGGTATGGATTGTAGAACAAAATGGCTTTATTCTAGCTATTTACCTGCTATACTTTTAGATACCAAATATTATAAGCAAATTAAATTATATTTATCTAATATGAATTTTATTCCACAAACAATGCCCTAACATTTAAGTTTTATTCTTGAATAAATAAAGCACACCCACCTACCATCCCTTATTATCCATCATTCCTAGTTTATTTTCTAATCTAAAAATATATCAAATATACAATATTTGAATAGTTATCCAAGTCTAAACTACGGCATTTAGTTTTGTCACCAATAGACTGCATTAAAGCCAGACTTCTAAATATATTTTAATCGGTAGAAATATGAAACATTTTTATCCGACCCTACAGTGATCCTTTGCTTGGTGTTGGACCAGACCAAAAAATACAGATTAAATACACTAAGGTTTGAAGTTTATATTGAAACATGTGGAATTGTTAAAGGGGGGTGGGAATACTTTAGCAGAGCAATAAACTTCATAAACTGTAAAAATAGTTTGACAGTCATTTTTATTAAATGATCAATAAAATTAGCCAGGTAATAAATTATCATGCTTAAAAACCCATTTAAAAAAAGGAAAATAAGATGATAATTTAGTGAACTGAAGGTTTTATTGCTATAAAACATTAACCACCATAGCTTTAATGAATCAATGGGTAAAAGCCATATTCTTTCATATGACCTTGTTAATGTAACTTAATTTTCTCCCAAGGGAATTAAATGTTCATTGTGTTTTTTGTGTTTAGTCATCTGTTCAATAAAATTCTACAGGTGCTGGTCATAAAATTAGAATATCATGAAAAAGTAGATTGATTTCAGTAATTCCATTTAAAGAGTGAAACTTGTATATTATATTCATACATTACATACAAACTCATATATTTCAGATGTTTATTTTGTTTAATTTTGATGATTACAAATGACAACAAATGAAAATCTCAAATTCATCATATCAGAAAATTAGAATATTACTGAAGACCAATAAAAACAAAGGATTTATAGAAATGTTGGCCAACTGAAAAGTATGAACATGAAAAGTATGAGCATGTACAGCACTCAGTATTTAGTTGGGCCTCCTTTGGCCTGTATTACTGCAGCAATGCGGCGTGGCATGGAGTCGATCAGTCTGTGGCACTGCTCAGGTGTTATGATAGCCCAGGTTGCTCTAATAGTGGCTTTTAGCTCTTCTGAATTGTTGGGTCTGGTGTATTGCATCTTCTTCTTCACAATACCCCATAGATTTTCTATGGGGTTAAGGTCAGGAGAGTTTGCTGGCCAATTAAGAACAGGGATACCATGGTCCTTCAACCAGGTACTGGTAGCTTTGGCACTGTGTGCAGGTGCCAAGTCCTGTTGGAAAATGAAATCTGCATCTCCAAAAAGTTGGTCAGCTGCAGGAAGCATGAAGTGCTCTAAAACTTCCTGGTATGTGGCTGCGTTGACCCTGGACCTCAGAAAACACAATGGACCAACACCAGCAGATGACATGGCACCCCAAACCATCACTGACTGTGGAAACTTTACACTGGACTTCAAGCAACGTGGATGAAGTGCCTCTCTTCTTTTCCTCCAGACTCTGGGACCTTGATTTCCAAAGGAAATGCAAAATTTACTTTCATCAGAGAACATGACTTTGGACCACTCACCAGCAGTCCAGTCCTGTTTCTCTTTAGCCCAGGCAAGACGCTTCTGACGCTGTCTGTGGTTCAAGAGTGGCTTGACACAAGGAATGCGACAGCAGAAACCCATGTCTTTCATACGTCTGTGTGTGGTGGTTCTTGAAGCACTCACTCCAGCTGCAGTCCACTCTTTGTGAATCTCCCCCACATTTTTGAATGGGTTTTGTTTCACAATCCTCTCCAGGGTGCGGTTATCTCTCTTGCTTGTACACTTTTTTCGACCACATCTTTTCCTTCCCTTCGCCTCTCTATTAATGTGCTTGGACACTGAGCTCTGTGAACAGCCAGCCTCTTTAGCGATGACCTTTTGTGTCTTGCCCTCCTTGTGCAAGGTGTCGATGGTCGTCTTTTGGACAACTGTCAAGTCAGCAGTCTTCCCCATGATTGTGTAGCCTATAGAACTAGACTGAAAGACCATTTAAAGGCTTTTGCAGGTGGTTTGAGTTAATTAGCTGATTAGAGTGTGGCACCAGGGGCCATCAATTTTGAACCTTTTCACAATATTCTAATTTTCTGATATGATGAATTTGAGATTTTCATTTGTTGTCATTTGTAATCATCAAAATTAAACAAAATAAACATCTGAAATATATGAGTTTGTATGTAATGTATGAATATAATATACAAGTTTCACTTTTTAAATGGAATTACTGAAATCAATCTACTTTTTCATGATATTCTAATTTTATGACCAGCACCTGTAGTAGTCACAGGTCAACCATCATGAAAAGTTGGCATATTTTTCAGTCATCTTACTGGTAAACTCTGTTCTGTAATAAGTCCCTGTTAAGGTTGGATTGTGTTGATTTAAAAAAAGGATAAATTGTCTCGATTTTTAATCAAATAAACCTAAATTAAAGGTTTTCTGCCCCAAACTAGACCCCACACAGGAAAAAAATGTGTAATATATTAAAAGCTAAGCTCAGGCTGTCAACACACTTTCCTACCTTTACTAGTGAATCCAAAACGGTGAAACATAAATTCCCAAACTCCCAACATCTCCTTATTGGGTTACAGAAGGTTTATTTGTGTGACTCAATGCTGTAGGGAGAGAAAAGTCCTTTATGATCCAGATATTTTTTTTTCTTTTCAGAGTTTGTCTGCAGCAGTAATATATTTGGAGAGAAAGTGTCTGATTTCTGAAATGTGCATCGTCTCTCTGATGGTTGTGTCTCTGCTGCGGACCTGCAGGAGGCCGCTCTCCAGGGTGTTTTCATTGATTACCACAGAGAAGAGAACTCCCATCTCGTCATATCTGGAATGCAAAGACAGGGGAAAAAAAGGTTACGGAGAATCAACAATTAACAACAATTAAATCTGATGAAACTGTTAAGAAATAACTGCTATGGTGCGTTCAAACGAAAACGCGCTTTGAGCGTCATGACGTCTGGTTTAATATATGTAAAGTCTGCAGGAGACGGTGTTGAGGAGCTGCGAGAGCTCTTCTGACATAAGTGATCCTTGCAATGTTTCCAGCATTAAGAGAAATGCATTTTGAGCATTCAAGTATCCATTTAGTGGCAGACACCAGAGGTAAGACATCTGAACAGTGGCAGCTGGACGCTGAGCTTCTACCAATCAGAGGCCTGGGAGACAGACCAGGAATGCAAGCTGTGATCTCTTCTTCTGCAGAAAACTATGAAAGGTAAATATATGTATATGTTGGAATAAATGTATATAATGTTATCTCATATTTACTCCTTTTCTAACACCTATTTGTTTCCCCAACAGCCTGATATTTCTGTGTGGAGTTGTGTTGCAGAACGTGAGATGGAGGGATTGTGGATAACACTTGTATGCTAGAATATATGAAATATAGATGCTTAATGTATCCCTTTAATGTCCAAAATGGGGAAATTCACTCTCTGCCATTGTGCGGCGCCCGGGTAGCAGTGTGGGGTTAAGGGTCTTGCTCAGAGACCCAGAGTGCTGGCTGTGGGGATTGAACAGGGTACCTGCAACTTTCTCAGAGCACAAGCGCACTAACCTGACTCCGCCAGATGGATTTGCTCCGCATATCCATCTGGAAACCTTCCGTTGAAGTAATTTTGGGAAGGGGCGAAAATACTGGTTAGCTGATTGGCCTATGTTGGTGATAGACGGGCCAAATAAACCAATCAGATCAACAAAGCATATGACGTACTAACAGAGCGACGACGAAGAGGAGCCAATTGATAGATCAAACTCTTGCTGAAACCAGTCGGGAGAAGAGCAAAAACATCTTTTCCTCTGAGAAAAGCCTCCAGAGCAGTGTTTTGCTCTTCTTTCAGTGAAGAAATACTCTGTAATTCCGATAAAACTTGCTTGATAGCGCTAACGCTAGTTTCATCGGCTGAAGCCGCCATGTTCTTTAGACTGAACTGTGGCGCTTCTCGTTGCGTCACACCTCAACCCGCCTCAAAGCCAACGCTGATTGGACGTTCGTTTGGTGAACGGCTCCAAATTTTCTTTAACGGAGAGTCTCCAGACTGATTAGCGAGTGAAACCTTGAAAGCTCGCGAGGCTACAAGCGCACTGCTCTGCCCCCTAGGCCAACACTCCCCCACTTCCCTCCCCTTTAAAGAAGCACAAGTCCTGTAATTGCCATCTCTTGGCCAGGTCTCCCTGGAAAAAGAGATTTTATCTCAAGGGACTTCCTGGTAAAATAAAGGTTAAATAAAAATAAATAAAATTAGGGACCTCCTTTAATTGAAATAAAAAGAGAGTTTACTAAACACATCTCTCTCTGTTCTCATCGTGAGTAACGGAATCTTATGCTACGTTCAGAACGCAAGTGCTGGAGGCAGCAAAAAAGCTTTTGCTTCTTCCTTATCGATGCTTGTTCACCTTAAAGCCGGGCGTACACTGTATGATTCTTTTTTGCCCTTTTCGGGCCGATTCTCCAGCCGCGCAAGAATTTTTCGATCAGGCCGACTGCGTGGTGTAGTATACAGGGGGTAACGAGGGGCGATCAGCCTCTAACGATCCCCTCCCCATCAGGAATCGTAAAGTCGCGAGAAAATCAAACATGTCTGGAATTCAGTCGGCCGTCATAAGGTGGTCGAGGGCAAATCGATCTGTGCTCAAACAAGGATTCTTCTTCTTCTTCCTCTTAGATGAAAACACAGAATCATGGCGGGGGTGCAATGAGTTAAATGAGTTATTTCCGTAAAATTGACAGACCGTAGTAGCCACGTTAGCTCAGCCAGGTCTTTGTCCAAATATGCCGTCTCTTTTTCTTTTTAGGGCTTTCAGCACAAAATCGCACAAATATTCAAGGCAGCGCGTTTCACTCTAGTGAGCTTCTTATTCCTCTTCCACTCGTTTGGTTTCCAGATAGACGAGTCCGAGTATCGCCATCTCACTGCGGGACCTGGTTTTTAAACGTACAGTTTGAGAAGGTGGGTCGCACAGTGTCAGAACAAACAGTGTGAGCCGTGAACTCAAGAGCAGTTTTGACGTTCCTGAAGCGCTTCCAGTAAAGTGTGACCAGATGCGTCTGATGCTTCTGCTGCTCCTGTGTTCAATAGCAGAGAGCGGCGTTGCTATGTTAGCTGTGATCAGTGGGTAAAAAAAAGTTTTCATATGTTTTGAAGTGAGAAAGTCCTCCTGAAAACTTCATCAGTGCAGTCAGTTCATCCAGATTACCATCCTGCCTTCCAATATTTTTTCTCTGTCGGAGCCGCTCAGACCCCCACACGGCGATGCGCTGTCACTAAGAATCCCCTTCAACAGCAGCCTATGGCCCGGTTCGTGGCGGCTGGAAGGCGTTTTTCATGTACGTAATCCAAACTGCAGGCATCAGAATAATAAAATTGAACATATTTTCCCGGCAGGTTTCTACATTTTAAGTGAATTTAGGCGTTAATAAACTGTTTCAGAGGAGTGATCATAGAGCTCTGCATCAGCAGTGCTGTGTCTGACTCCCTGCCAGCTCCCAGATCAGCTTCTCTCATTGGTTGATGTGGCACGTCAAGCAGTAAAAGTTCAATTTTTCCAACTCCAGCAGCTGCTGCTGCGTGCATCAGATGCTCAGAAGCCACTGAGGCGCTTCCTGCTGCTCAGAACGCGCTGCGGGACCTTTTGCTGCGCCTTGATGCGCGTCCACCATTCACTTTGCATTTATAAAAGCTGCTTCAGCTGTGTGCGATCTGAACGTAGCCTAATGCTCTCGTCTTTCTTTCATTGTATGTTGATAAATATTTTAGGTGCTTGAAGCTGACAGTACATAAATAAAGGGGTTAAACTTAACTTGCTTTCCAAAAAAAGCAAGGATCTTTGATCATTATTACATTATATTGTCTTACTGAACTCTGTTAAACAGTTTATAAGGCCTACATTGGCTGAAAATGTCAAATCTTGCCAAAGAATAATTGAGAATTCGCTTCCAGCTTCTACGAGCGGCAGCAGGAAATGCCCGACACCTTGTTCCGCTTTGGAAAGCTTTCACCTTGGAGTCCCAGTGTGGCTCGCCGCTATGTGAGGGGGGGTCTGCTGCTCCAAACATGTACAGAATATTTCAGCAGAATCACTTAAAAATGTTAAAACTACTTTTTTTTTAACTCAAAGAGAAAAAATGAAACCTCCTAATTGCATGGAGCAGAGCAGCTCAACGCCAAAGGAGCGTAGAGGATCCTGACTTCAAACGCACAAAACAACCAATCTGAGAGTTTGGACGCCTTGTTGATGCTCCAAACGCGCCTGTTTTGAACGCACCATAAGACTTAAGACTCTCACTTTGCATTCAGATGCTCTAATGATGATGGCAGAGTTTCAAGATACCCAGGCCAAGCAGAGATCTTAGCTTCCAGGAACTCCTGCAGGAGGCCCTCACAGACCTGCAATCAGACCTTCAATCAACACAAGCTCTTCTTTTTTAGCTCGTTTCTGAGTCGGCGATTAAGTTCAGAGATGAAACCCTCACTGACTGTAACCTGCAGTAGATCCTGACCTGTCTAAGTTCCACCGTGGCTCCCTTCCCAATGTCTAAAGCCACCTTGACAGGAGCCAACACTGGATGCAGCTTCAGAACCTTAAACAGGAAACCAGAAGGCAGTCAGTCACTGAAAACAGAGGCTGCAGGAATGAGACGAGAGGCTGAGCAGCTTCACCTTCCTCTGCTGCAGCCTCTTTTTGCCGTCCTCTCTTCTGAGCTGCTGGAGGGAGTTAGACAGGAAGGCCAAGACGCCGCGGTCCATGTTGCCGCTCACAGACACGACGTGGGGGACGGACTTCCGGCCATCTCGACTCTGGAGCACAGGTAGTTAGGAAGGAAACCAGATGATGTTACGTTTGAATAAACAGGAGAAGAAGAAAAAAGTTAAAGAACTTTTAATCCAAAGGATTCTTTATTTATTTTGTTCAACTCTTTTTCTTCTGAGTGAACTTGGGCTCTAAATTAAAAAATTAAAACATTCAAAAGTTATTCACTTTAACTCAATTAAGTTTATTTATTTGCAGGAATTAAGTTGATTCCTTCCCGCTATGATTGGAGCTCCAACCCCTTTACAGGGGAACAGATACTTCGCCTATTCAGCCAGGCCAATACCCTTAACGACCCCCCTTTCAGAGACATGGACAGGTATGGGGCATTGCAGACTAACAAGGAAGCCAAACGACCCCCATTCCAAAGGGGGGGGGCCCGTTCATCCGTTTCTATTTGCATGTTTTCTAAACTAAAACCAGGCTTTGTTGGGCTACTGGATAAAACCTGGAACTCGACGCTATTTCTGACATTTTGAATTGAAAAAGCTTCCTGGATGGGAAGAGAAACATCTTGATACTTCGAAACAAAGTCCAGTGGATTGTTTTTTAACTTTTTTGGAAAAACTTAAGAGCAGTTTTACATCATTTTACTTTTTTTGTTTACTTTAGTAAAAGTATGATAAAGTATCACCAATCTTCTTGAGTAAAAGGTCTGGCTGCTCCAACCAGTGTGAAACTTCTTTTTGGTGCTGAAGGCTTATTGGTGCTGTAAATTACGAGTCATTCTGTTATGCCAAACACAATGCAGACTTTAATTAGAAGTAAACTGGACTTTCCCCGAGCTTTTCAGAGAAGTAGTTCGATCTTAAAGTCGTAGGGAAGTGGCTGTTCCAGCCGTTTCATTTCTGAATTCTCCCGAGTGAATAAAATGAATGTTATTGGTCGTTTATCAAGAGGGCGGGATTACTGTGGCGGAAGGTTCGCAAGCACATTTGATTGTGGCCGACATGCTAACCAGTTAGCAACTTAGTGCTAGCAGGTTCCCAATGGGAAATTCCATTGGGACCAAGTAGCACTAAATTGGTGACTTAGAAACGACGCTGTCAAGGAACGCTATGGACAGCGGAAACATGCAAGAGGAGGAGAGTTTAGTGTCGGAGGTCGTGGATGAGTCTCCTCTGTCATCCATTTTTTATTTAGAGGAGGAAAGCGGGGACGAAGATGTTGTGGAAGAGGACGCCAGGGCGGCAGAAGCTTGGTTTGGTGTAGAAGGCTTCCAGCCGTACATGTTTGAGCCCTTGCCTCGCAACGCTGCCAGTTCTGTTAGCTCTACGCCTGCCGAAGACACAGACGTCCATCCCCGTGAACACTGGGACGGAACTCAACGGTACGTCGTATGTCGCAGCTAATATACGCAACAGTTGAAATAAGAATCATTTACTTTACCATTTAGTTACCAAACAGAAAACATAAATAGTCTAGAGCAGAATTGACCAATCAGAGACCTCCTCTCTGCAGTCACCTACAATTTTGAGGAGGTGCACAAGTGTTTCTGCAGAAGGTGGGGTGGACATATCTGCGTTGACTGCGACACACATGCAGACGACCTGTTTTCTGAGCATAAACCCAGCTGAGAAGAATGAGTGTAACAGAATGAGGCGGACCTGTAGTTTGCTGCGGACCCCCTTGTACGTCTGCAGAAGTTCTGCGTCTCCTCGACACCATAGTGTCTCCAGGGATTCGGGACCCCATGGGAAATTGAACAAGATCTTCATCCCCCGAGACGCCGTCTCTTGAAGCTCGTTCTCAGGCACCTCAACGCTGCTGAAGTCAGAGGGGGACAGGGCAAACTGGATGGGTAGGAAGAAAAGGACACGACAATGGAGGCGCTGAAACCAACGGCTAAACGTGTGGATAAATAATCTGGTCGTTATCATTCCGGTTCCTCACCTTCCTCCACCACTTCAGCCTCTGCCGTGCCCAGTGGTCCAGCCACTGGGAAGATGTGCGGGGAGAGCAAAACCACACCAGAGACGTCTGGTTGACCTCAGCGAAGCTGGCAGCAAAGAGAAACAGGTTCTCAGTCGAACTGCAGACAAACAAACTCCCCCCGTCCTTCATGCAATGCTGGAATATCTTGTTCCACATCAAGCAGATCCACCGTTTTCAACTGAAGAGTCGCTATTGTTGCTGTAGCAACACAATCAGCCCACTGATGGTCCAGTTTAAGACCTACGTGAAGACCGTCTTAGCATGCAAACTAGATGCTTTATTCAGTCCAAGTTGCTGGAACTGGGTTGGACCAAAGTTTGCCTACAGAGTTCCTCGTATATGAATTAAGTCAGGATCAGCAAGACTCAGATCAGCCTGTGTGGCACATTGATGATGCTAATCATATCGTGTGTTTACTGCTGAGTAAAGACATCGCTAAGTTCTTGAAGCAAACAGTGAAACAGCGAGTAAGAAGGCCAACAGTAAGGAGTACATTTTAGGACCCATCTTCTCCCTTGGACAAGCAGCCGAAGAAGATTTTTTAAGCTCTAATGGCCTTTTTTTTTATTACCACCCCTAGAGGAGTAAATGCAGGAATCCTGCAGAAAATATTTGATGGCAATAAAATAATTTGCTAAAATAATCAGGGCTGCGTCCTGAGCCTCCTGCTGTTCACCCTGATGAAAAACGACTACGCCCCCAGGTTCACCATCAATCACATGGTGAAGTTTGTAGACGACACCACGGTGGTGGGCCTCATCAGAGACGACAACGACCTGGACTACAGAGAGGAGGTGGAGCAGCTGGTGGTGCAGAGATAACAGCCTGATCCTGAACGTGGAGAAGACCAAGGAGATCATGGTGGACTTCAGGAAGAACCGGTGTCCTGTCAGATGAGCATACCTCATCAGACCAGCATACCCATAGTCAGTACGCATGTGCAAGATGATGGCTTTACATTTATCCCTTTATTTTTGTACAAAAAATAGACTTTAAACTACCTCAACGGGCGTGTATCCCTTTCGTCATGTAGAAAAAACACAATTTAAGGTAACATCGCCATATGCTTCAAAAAGCACCAAAAAGTGAGTAATTTAAATGTTTTTTTTTTGTACATGACTAAAGGGAAACACGCCCGTTGAAGTAGTTTAAAGTCCATTTCTCCTACAAAACTAAAGGGATAAACGGGTATTGGCTATAGTTATGTTCATCTGACAGAACACCGGCCTAACCACGCTCCACTGCTCATCAACAGCTCAGCTGTAGAGGTGGTCAGCAGCACCACATTCATCACAGACACCCTCACCTGGACTGGAAACACCACCTCACTGGTCTAAAGGGCCCAGCAGTGCTTGGACTTCCTGTGGAGGATGAGGAGAGCCCACCTGAGTACCTGGAGCCAAGCACCTGTAATTGCTTGTGAGGGTGAACTTGTGCATGTAAAGTTTATCCATAGAAAAAATGCTCAATAGTGGTTGTGGAGAGCTGGAGAGGCACACCCCCCCCACCCCCACCCCCACCCCGCACTGAGTCCAGCGCCGGGAGACCCAAAGCCCCAGGCGCCCAAAGGGACCCCAAGAGCGAAGGCACCAAGGAGGGGCCAGCCCCGGAAATCGGACCCCCACCAAGGGAGGAGGAGAGACAGCCTCCAAGAAGCCCCCCAGCCACCGCCATACTGGCGCCCCGGGGAGCCGCGGAGGCGATGTCCATGGGCTCCGCCGGCAGCCAGCCACCCTGAAGTAGGGCTGGGCACCGAACACCGCCCCCCCCCACGGCACCGACCGAAACGCCCCAGCCGCACAGAGCGCCGAAACACGCCACTGCCCCGCCCCCCGGCACCAAGCCCCGGCGACCGGCGGCAACACCCAACGTGACCGCACCACCCACGAAAAACACACAGGCGGCCGCCCCCACAGCCGGGGCCCACGCGCATCCGCCGCGAAGCGGCCGCGAGCGCCGCAGAACCCCCCCAAAACGCCCCTGAACGTCTTCTGATCACTTTAAAGGAAAAGTCCGGTCATATTCAGAATTCAAACTTCTGAAAGTCCTTTAGATATAAAATGATTCCATCCTGTTCAATAAATGATCAGTGTTTTTAATTCAGAGTAATTTTCATGTGAATGTGCTTTACTGGAGGCATCCATGTTTGTCAAAGAACACTACTGCCACCTACTGGATAGTGACGTCACGGTGCGGTATCGGCTGTTGATCAAGTCCCAGTGCTGTATCTGGTGTTTGTCACAACGCGCTATTATCCAAGTCATCTTGAAAACATTCTTCTTCCAAATGTTGGCTACATATTACGGGTTTTTTCTCTGGCCAGAAGTTCGATGGCAAATCCTCCCTCTTCAAGTTGGCGATCCAACGACCAACCCGTCCGTGGAGGATCAGGAATCAGAAAGCTGGAATAACTCTTTTTTTCACGTTTACCCGATGTATTCCAGCATCCAGCTGCCATGCACGTGGGCATTGTCAGTTTCACTATAGCTCTGGTGAATTTCAATGGTGAAGTCCTCTGGAATTCTTCAATAATTGTTGTTGATTGCAGATGTGTCTAGTAGTTCCCATTGATTTAGCTTGTAAAGCGGGGAGAATGGCGCTAGGCTTACCGCACCGTGACGTCACTGCTGGAAGATGGCAGGAGGGAGGGGCTACTATATTTGGGCAAAAATGGCCGCTCCCAGACTTAATTTTTTTTACTGATTAACGCTAAATTCATTAAATCACCGCGAACGTATTAGTTTTAGGTATAAATAATGATCCATTGATCATTCCTTGCTGACCGGACTTTTGGAAATGTTCCATTGTTCATTTCACTGCTATAAGCTGCTCATTCACTCTTGAAAAGCTGTTGGAATCGAAATTTAATTTTGTATACGCCCTCTAAATACAAAATGACAATAAAGATGTCTAAGTCTTATATCACTGTAGTTTCTCACAATTGAGAGAAATGTAAGGATGTTAAACTCGAGAAATCAGTATGTTGCACTGTAAATATCTTCACTTGTATCTTTGGATATTGACTGAATGAACCCAGTCCATTGCTGATTAGTTTCAAAGAAAAGCTGAAACCTCACCAACCAGAGCCATCTGAAGGCTGGAAACACGGACCCATCTCAGCCAGGCCAAATGGGAGTTTTCTGTTCACCATTTCCAGCGAAGACACAAAGTTCTCCAAGGCACCTGTAAACAAAACCAGGAGTCCGTCACTAAAGCCTGGAAGTAAAAATCAATCTATGTCAAAAGCAGTAGCGGATTTAAGGGCTACAGCCCCGGATGTTTCCCCTAGAGCCCCGGATCTCGCTTCTGAGCTGATATGAGTCAAATGTTCAGTACTGGAATTCTCCAGAGAGTGGCAGCATGTGCAGGAACGCAGCCAGGCATCAAAATCCACAGGATTTGTTGTTGATGAAGAGAGGAATAAACACAGAAAGACTTGCAGGTATATTTATTTCTTCCCATGTTATGGAGGGGGAGCTGATTATTTCAGGCAGCTAAAATATCCATTCTCTCTTTCCGCCGGGCTTTGTTTCCAAGTTTGAAGAGGTTTAGCTTCCCATCCAGGAAGCTTTTTCAATTCAAAATGCCAGAAATAACGTTGAGTTTGAGGCTTTATACCAGAGGTCACAGATTAGCGGTCCAGATCTGGACCCAACCTGATTTAAAACATTTATAAATTAACACATGTTGTGTGACGGCAGTGTCTTACTTCACTTGATGAAATGAGCCAATGAGCTGCTGTCAGTCTGGGTTGCTGCAGCTGCTACTTTTAGACACAGCAGGCAAACCGGTGCAATGGCGTAAATATCGGTAAGCAGAGACAGCAGTTGCTTAGGGGCCCCCGACCTCAGTGGGAGCCCCGTCACTGACACCTAGTCGGCCCCCCACGCAATTGTGCACTACAACGTCTCTGTGCAGATGTAGTGGTGTAAAAAATTCCTCTTAAACCCACCTGTTCCTGAAGTGACTGACCGCACCGGACCGTATTTATACCGCAACACATTTCACCATGATGGTGAGCCGTTTAAACACAACACCAATAGCAAAGCAGACAGTGGGACTTTTAATTACTGTGTTAATAACCGTGTATAGTTCATTACACGGTTAGAAAAATAAACTCATATGTTTCAAACCGCAATAGAGATCATAAATGTAGATGTATTTGAGTATTTTATATTTTTACAATATGACTTGGAATTATGGGTAATCCAGAGCGTAGTTTAAAACCATAACTGTTATGCAGAATGTGTTAGCGACGATGGATACCAAAAAGAGGTACTTAAGCTGATTCCAGAAAAGAAAACGGGAAGAAGAGACGCTGAAAGAACGGAAAAACATTCCCAAAATAAACACTTTCTTTCAAAGAACTGAAGAGGGAGACGAGGACGTTGCTGCTACAGTGAGTAAAGATGGAGACCAGGAGATGAGCGTGGACCTGTGGCAAGCCGGGCGATGGGAAAGAAGGAGAAGACGATGAGAAAAAGAGAGCAGAGAAAGTGTGGACTGCTGGAAGCACCATGAACAGAATCAAAAAATAAATCTGGATCATGGCTTCATGTCAAGCTGCTGCCTGCCTTTGTGAAGCAGGAAAAAGACTAATGCAAAGCGAATCCAGTAGAACTTTTTATTGCCTACCTGGAATGGGGGACAATAGTTGAATACCATTTTAGTGCTGGATTGGGGCTCCGCCCGATACTGGTATTGGGGCAACACTACTCAAAATTAGCATCTTGATATGTGCTGTTTAAAGTAATAGTAAAGATCCGGAGACATTTTTAATTATAATCTGGTTGTTGATTTTCTTTATTGGTTACCCCTGCTTAAAGGAATAGTACACCCAAAACATGATTAGCCTTAATTTTCTACTCACCCCCATGCTGAACAACACTCTGGAGTGCTTTTTTGATATCTCAAATGCATCTGGAGATCTGGGAGGCTTCTTGCTGTCTGCTGACATTCAAATAATGGAGGTCTATGGCGCCCGAGGCAGAAAGGTCCATAAAAGTCCACAAAAAACGTGTCAATATTCCCCCATACTGCTCGTCCAATGTATTCCAAGTGTCCTGAGTGGGTAGCGTCCATAATTTACTCGAAACAAAGTCATTTAGAATGTTTTTAGAGCATAAACAGTAGTGTATAGGATTTCCTGAAAGCGCGTTCACGACGCTACGGAAGCCGGCAGACCAAACCAGATGAAAGTGCGCATTCAGCATCTGCTCTGCCAATAATGCAAGCGTAGAAGAAGAAATGTGCTATTTACCTGTGCAAAGAAAGAAACAACGAAAGAAAAATGTCTGAGGACTTCAGTGTTGAGGAAGAGCATGAGTTCTTTGCCGAGCTGAATGCGCTGGTTTGGTCTGCCCGCTTCCGTTGCACCGTGAACGCGCTTTCAGGAAATCCTATACACTACTGTTTATGCTCTAAAAACATTCTAAATGACTTTGTTTCGAGTAAATTCTGGATGCTACCCACTCAGGACACTTGGAATACATTGGACGAGCAGTATGGAGGAATATTGACACGTTTTTTGTGGACTTTTATGGACCTTTCTGCCTCGGGCGCCATAGACCTCCATTATTTGAATGTCAGCAGACAGCAAGAAGCCTCCCAGATCTCCAGATGCATTTGAGATATCAAAAAAGTACTCCAGAGTGTTGTTCAGCATGGGGGTGAGTAGAAAATTAAGGCTAATCATGTTTTGGGTGTACTATTCCTTTAATACAGCAGCCCATCAAAGCCTTGTTTTTGTTTAGAAAAGAAGCAAATTGAAACGGACAAACTGGTCCGCCCCTTTGAAATGGGGGTCATTTGGCTTCTTGTTAGCCTGCAATGCCCCATACCTGTCTATGTCTCTGATAGGGGGGTCGTTAGAGGGAATTGTTGGCCTGACTAAAATAGGAGGTCTTCTACACTGTGATGATTGCATGTTTTCTAAACAAAAACCAGGCTTTGTTGGGCTGCTATATAAAACCTCAAACTCAACGCTATTTTAGACATTTTGAATTGAAAAATCTTCCTGGATGGAAGAGAAACATCTTCAAATTTGGAAACAAAGTCCAGTGGATTGTTTTTTTTTTTTTTTTTTTTTTTTGGAATGACAGTGACCTGGACGACAGAATTTTCACCAGCATATCCATTTTCTCCTCCTCCCAAATCTTTGGAAAATAAAAGATCAAAAACTGTTATATGTGATAGCACGTCATATACTAGAAATGTCCTTAATGCAGTAATCTGTCATATTTTACGTTACAAGGGTGTTTAGCAGAAAGTCTACACTCCAGGCTCAGACTGGTAATCTGTGATAGCGGGCATTTGCCCGGTGGGCCGGTCCTAATTCCAGAAATCAGAATTCCTCCTGAAATCATAGCAGCTCCAACACTCACTCTCCAGCCGAAGCTCCTACCTGTGACAGTAAATAACTCAAGGAGCTCCAGAAGTAATCCAATGTTAACTCCTTAAATGATGCATGCAGCATATATAGCCCTTCATTGTGACAGTTGGCATGTGGTGTCATTTTCTATTTCTTCAAACTGTAAAATCCTTGCAACAAACTAAATTTAAACCAAACTACGATGTTCCTCTTATATTTGGCAAATTAATGTTCGAATATTTTGCAAAAATATGTTGTGGTGAATTATTGGGTTTTGCATCTAAAGGGGGAGTGGCGGCCAAGTGGTTAGGGGATAGGGCTGAGCAACACCCTTAACCCCACACTGCTCCCCGGGCAGCGCACAATGGCAGCCCACTGCTCCCCATGGGGATGGGTTAAATGCAGAGAATTCATTTCATTGCTCTGTACTTGTGACAGAGCACTGTCATTCCATGTCAGTGGAATGACAATAAAGGTGAATTCTATTCATTGCATTGTTGCCAGGTTGGGCTGATGTAGTTGGAAAAATATCCATGGCCGAAAATTGTTCCAAGTCAGAGCATTCTACATTCCCCCTCAGGGCTAAGCCCCCTGATCTCCTAGAATCCTAGATCCGCCCCTGGCAGAAGGGACAATAATGAGTGGGAACTGATCAGAAGGGCGGAGGCACCGTTTCTACCTTGAAGTAAACTTCTCCTCACAGATGGAGAGCTCAGCAGCAGCCCCCTCAGCTCCTGGATCAGCTGATCTCTGTTTAAATCGGACCGATCCAGTATCTGCTGGACGTGTTCGGCTTCAACCAGCCGGGCTCCAGCCGCTCTTTGCTCCGCGCTGAAGCTCGGTGTGCTCAATCCGAACACCCGCTCCTTAGACCCGGTCACTGAGTGCCACCACTGCCGCAGCAGGTTCCCCCGCAGCTCCACGCCCAGCGGACCGTAGCTGCAGCTCCAGCCTCTCCGGAAAAGCTCCGCGTTGCTTTCCCCGGGAGAGATGTAGAATCTGTCCGCGCAGAGCTGCAGTAGGACACGGAGCCGGTCCGACCCATCAGCCGCTGGGCTGCAGACTCCTCTGGTGCCTCCCGAACATGAATGTGACCGGATGCAGCGTCTGATGCTCTGGATCCACATGTTCAACTTCAGGTCCAAACATAAACTTAAGTCAGGGATTACGTCATCTATCTGAACCTTTTGGGCCACATAAGATTACAGCTATGTGTTTACATGTGCGAATGAGATGCTATAAAAAACAACTCTGCAAGAAGCTAAGCTAAGTGGCTAATCCCGCTGCATTTACGGCAAAAATGTCCGCTGTTTTCCAGTCACTGCATAAATAATAAATATGCTGCAAAATCATCTGAAAAACATTTCTAGTTTACAAAAACTACGGCTGGGAAAAAGTTTCTATGAAGAAACACGCAGCGTGATTCCCAGACCCGGAAGTTAACCGATAACTTCCGGGTTAAGAAGAGACCGACTCTGGTTACTAGGCAACGAGCAATGCAGTCATCATAGGTAGACGCATAGATATCCTTTATTATGGATATCTATGGGTAGACGCCACATTGGACGCTGTCGGCAGCGAGGCCGACGTAACTAGAGGTCGGCCATCTTGGATCAGACCACAGTTCAGCTCAGATGAGAGATATTACAATAATCTCTTACATGTCACAACCCTTGAAAGACCAAAACAAATATTAAAATTACAGATTTGAATTAGATTAAAAACTATTTAAACTGAAGTCAAACTGGATGAGATATATGCAGTTATATATTTTGCAATTGATATATAAATAAATGATAAAAAACAAACTGTTATATGTTAAAGATTGTTTTACAAATAATTTATATTCATATATATTTAGAATTTTAAGAAAATACTTTTTAAATTAATTTTATGTAAATTTCTTAAATTTGTTATTGTCAAATAGTGAATGGCAAGTTGTGTCTATAAATGCTGTTTGTCCTTATAAGTTTGTCTAACCTTCCAAAACTCTTTTCCAAACTGTTTTTTTTTTTAAATCATTTTATATATAAGAATTTGTTTTGGTCTTTTAAGTGGTTGTGACATGTATGAGATTGTAATATTATCTCTGACTTGTCATTTATGTGATTAGAGGTTTGTGCAAATCCCTCCCACTCAGAAATTCAGATCCATTCAGAAACTTTTAGCCTATTTTCAGTCAAATCTTTGGGACGAATAAATCACACTGACAATTAAAATGCATTAGTTTGGTTTAATCTTAAGAATCAGGTTTATTGATATATGCTGTTCTAAAAACAAAAAAACTTTGAACTTTACCACGAGTTTGAAGGTTTTGAGGAAAGAAAAAAAAAGGGCATATTTACACACATCACACTTAAACCACCACTTTTTATTTTCTCCTCTTTATTTAAAACGGGGCCACCGGCACCCTTTGATACAACTTCCATTACATCACTTTAAACTGAAAGTGAACACAGGATTACCTAGTAAAAATAAATTACCGAGGAATGTAACAAAAGAAAAAAAAAAAAAAATGAAAAAAATACAGTCCAGGAAAAAGTGCAGCAAACTTGTTTACACGACGGGAGGCTATGATCCCATTTACTCTTCTGGGTTTACTGAATAATTCCAACCATGCTGTAAGCAAAACAACATTAAACAAAGAATAACAAGATTCGTACGGTAAGACTGCTTTTCAAATGTGTTTATATACAATATTTACTGAGGGAATGGTGGCGGCATGGGGTAGGGCACCATGGGCGGTGGGGGCGGGGCCTGTTGGTTCTGTGGTGGAGGCTGAGAGTTGAAGGGGAAAGGCGCGTGGTTCACGCCGTTCTGAGCGGGCCTTTGCATGCCGCCAAACTGAGGCGGGCCTTGGAAGTTCTGGTTGCCAAAGCCACCTTGGTTTGGTGGAGCGCTGAAATTACCCTGTCCGTTAGTGTTGTTGTAATTGTTGCCATAGTTACCACTGGGATTGCTATTGCCGCCTCCGTAATTCCCGCTATTTTGGGCTTTGCTCCCCCCGAAGGCAGTTTTGGACCCGTTGCCGAACCCTCTATCGTTGTCCCTGTAGCCGCCACCGCCAAAATTACTTCTGCCGCCCCCTGAATACCTATCGCGACGATCATCCCTGTAACCACCTCTTCCCCCCCTTCCACGACCTGCAGAGGAAAAGAAAAGCAAGGGAACAACAATGAATATATAGCAATGCGAGAGAAAACTAAAATTCAAACATTAACTCTCAAGGATTTTGATACTGATTAAAGAACAGATGTAGATGTTGGTGAAGATTCTCAGTCATTCCAAAAAAAGTTAAATAATCCACTGGACTTTGTTTCACAGACATTTTGCTTCCTACACGCCCCTCTCAAACCACCCGTTTTCTTTTTTCTTAAAAATAAGTGGTTTGAGAGTGGAGTGAAGGAAGCCATCTATGTTCATCTGTTTCTATTTGCATGTTTTCTAAACAAAAACCAGGCTTTGTTGGGCTGCTGGATAAAACCTGGAACTCAACGCTTTTTCTGACATTTTGAATTAAAAAAGCTTCCTGGAAGAGAAACGTCTTCAAACTTGGAAACAAAGTCCAGTGGATTGGTATTTTACTTTTTAGGAACAGATGTAGATTGTGGCTCAAAGCTAAAAACATTTCACTTCTGAGAAGTTATACCAAAACTACCTTCTAAAATAAAAATCTTCACAAGGACCATAAGCTTTAAAAAGATGATTGCTAAAGAAACGTCTCACACTATATTGTATTTATGCATAATAATGGGAAGTTAAGTGGAAAGAAAATATGTTGAGGGAGAAAAAAAACAAACACTCTTTTTAATGTTTCACAATTATCACTACTGGTTACTCTTGTTAAGGGTGAGCATTTACTGTATTGTTTATCTTTATTGTGAGAAGTTTCCAGTCAGAGAATTTTGATCTAAACAATAGATTAGAATAAACATCGAATAAGAACTGGATGAATCGTCATTTCCTTTATTCTTTTTCTTTGGGGAATAAACAGGATTACATTTTGTTACTACAAGATGTTTAGTATTATAAACAATACTTTAACTGTTTTGGAAAAGCCCACTTTAAAGGTGATTATTCTTCAATAGTATAATCATTATTGTGGGGCAGATACCAAAGATGGAGAAAAAATAATTTTGTCACTTTTATTATGAGATTTCTGATGCAGTCACAGTAATACAGCAGCAGCCATTTAAAATGGCCCTTCCCAGTCAAACGGCAGCTGAATGGTAGCCCACTTCCCTGAAACTCCCAGCAAAATCCCCTCAAACTTCCATCCACTGCAGCAACCTCCTCATTCATATTTTTTTTACCCCGACTCTACCTTTTCACTGAATTACAGGGTCTGACCAGGAGATGGCGATTCTCCTTAGATGTTAATGTCCACATATCATGACAGAAAGAATATTTCAGTACAAAGATGGTGTTTAAAAAGGAATTGTAGGGGACCAGCCAAGCGCCCATCAAGGAAAGTTGTGAAACTTTGAATGGCTACTACTGTATATTTTGTTTAAAAGGTCTGCAAAATTTTTTTTGCATTACTTTTATAATTATTAAGAATAGAACCAAAAGTTCTGATAAAACCTGACCTTAGCCTTACTTTTTAGCTTTCTAAAGTTATACATTTCTGTAAAACCTAAAATAAAACTACTTTTAAAGTTTTTATTAACTGCAAGCCACAATCAAACCACGAATGTCTGAATTATCAGTGGAAAATGGAGATCGAGTCATTCTAACTTCTTGGTGCCACATTTTGAACGTTTAAATGACCTTTTCTAATAAATGAATAATCTCTACCTCCTCTGTCTTCTGCCATCTGGATCAGCTTGGGATTGATGGCCTGGTTGGCCTCACGCAGCACAGAGATCAGGTCACTGGCCTGTTTCATGTTGTTGGGGGTGAAGAAGGTGTAGGCGGTGCCCGTTTTTTGACTGCGGGCCGTGCGGCCAATGCGGTGGATATAGTCCTCGGAGGAGTTAGGGTAGTCATAATTGATGACAAATTTCACATCCTCCACATCTGTGAAAGTGTTGCAGTGTGGCAAAACAATACAAAGGAGGCCACCGGATTTTGCACACCACAACAGCCAGATCAAAAGGGGAAAGTTAGCAGCTGTAAAAAATGCTGGAGGGGAGAAAAGCGGTTATTTTTGGCTGTGGAAGGAAAGACAGCGGTGTTAAAAAATAAAAGGAGTGTGTACACATCTAATCCATGGGAATACTACTGTGGGAAGAGAGAAACGATGCACACTCCCATTGCTTACCCTGATCAAGAGATTCAAGGACATTCTCCCTTTACTACAAAGGGAGATGAGATTAAGGTCTTACCATTAAAGGAGTATGCATTCACTAGTCCTTTCCCAATGCAGCCAAATCCCCCACATATTATCAAGTGACATCCAGGAGCTTCTACGCAGTTAGGCCAACCATATGCACTGGGACCTCCTCATGTGCCAATATAGGACCATTGAGTGGTACATTTTTTTTCAGGTTCAATGTTTTCCCAGTACATTCTCATAGCAACCTTGATATTAAGGCCGCACTGCACGTCTTGCCAAGACAAACTAGACCATGTACCAATTCAAACCACAACCAAAAAGAGCCCCAGCATTGAACCTTGTGGGACTCCGATGCAAGGCATACAGTAATGCCCCGCCTCCCCCTTTATCAGGTTCATCAAGGCAAGATCTTCCAAGAAGCCAGTGTTCACTTGAGAAAATGTCTCTCGTTGGCAGGTCTCGACATGACTATAAAACACAGGCGAGGGAGGAACTTTGGTTTCAGCTTTCTCATTCTCCTTTCTTAAGATGTTCCCCACTAGCCCCTGAACACATGTGCCAGGTCTCAATTTTAAGAGCCAGAAAAAAAAGTTTTCAAACTGCTCTCTCCATTTTTAACGGACTCCAGCGCGTGAAAACAAACCAGCCGTCGAATTTCGACGAGCTGACACCCATTTCTACGTGAACCGAGCGGCTAAAAGCGTTAACGTTATGTTCCAAATCTCAAACAAGTGACTTGCGTAACTGCAACCTCTCACAAAACATGCAAGGCCAATGTCACAGCGTCAAAAAAATGTGGGGTTTTTTTCCGGATGTTTGAGTTGGAACCAGCTGGATGGGTACTTGTTGGGTGAAATCCATGGACAGAGAACAGATGTGCGAGTATTTCAACATCATATCAGAGACAAAGGCTTAGCCACGCAGCCTTTTTGAAGATCACTGGCACACAAGAGCTTTCACCTCTCTAGGCCCACTGGGTGGCAAGCCAGTTGAGCAATTCCAATATGTCCTCCTTCTCCCTCTCGAGGCCTGGGACTGTCATGCCTAGCGCCTGCCACAAAGACTCCACCTTAAGGTGAGGAAAAACTCAGAAAATGCATAGAGAAGTTAAAGAAAGCAAAAAACTTTCTTTAAAATAAGGAAACACTGGTAAGTGGTGCGACTGAAAGGCATACTGACCTAACCCACGGGAGGCCACGTCTGTAGCGATAAGAATCGGAGCTTTGCCGAATCTGAACTCTGAACACAAAAAAATAAATAAACAGATTCAATTATCAGACAGAACCTTCTGGTCCCAGTGTGTTTTTCAGTGACTTGGGAGCGTCATACCATTAAGGACCCAGTCCCTCTCCTGCTGGCTCTTGTCACCGTGGATTCCCATTGCTGGCCACCTATAATCAGACACGCACAAAAAAAAATAAATGAATAAAATAAAAACTACTTTTTTAAAGGAAAAGTCTGGTCTTATTCAGAATTCAAACTTCTGAAAGTTCTTTAAATATGAAATTATTCCATCCTGTTCAATAAATGATCAGTGTTTTTAATTCAGAGTAATTTTCATCTGAAGGTGCTTTACTGGAGGCATCCATGTTTGTCAAAGAACACTACTGCCACCTACTGGTCTGTCACGGTACCTACGAAGGTTACGTTTCAAAACTGTGCATTGTAGATGTGAATTTGAAGTTTTAGAGAGAGTTATAGTCTAAGTTTTGTATTTGTAGAATAATAAAAATTCAAAATTTTTATTTTTAAAGCTGTTCTACTTTCATGTAGTAGTTGCAGTGCTTTATTATAATTTATTATTTTTACCGGTGTGACACAGTGTGTCAAAATATAAAATGAAGGCATAACTTGTTAAGTTTAATTTGTAACTAACAGCAGCAGATTCGTGCAGTTGTATTTGTTTATTTGTATTACCGTATTTTCACGACCATAAGGCGCACCGTACTAAAAGGCGCAGTCTCAGTTATGTGTGCCATTTCTGTATTTAACACACACATAAGGCGCACCGGACTATAGGGCGCATTTTTTTATATACACAGGTACATGTCCTCTACTACCTTTAAATAGCTCTACTGCGTATTTTAAAAATACAGCGGGCCTAAAACTGAGTATGACTGTGCTTTATTCATGTATTTATTACAAAGTATTAATCAAACCCGCGAGCTGGCCGTGAGAGAGACACATCGCAGATGACACAGCGCTGTGATTACTCCTAAATTAACTTAAAATCCTGAAACCTGCCGACGGAATATGTTCGCTTTTATTGCCGGTATCCTGGTGCCTGCAGTATAAATTATTTAGATGAAAAACACCTGCCAGCCGCCGCGGTGAGGCTGCTGTTGAAGGGATTTCTGCTGTCGGTGCACCGCTGGTATGTGGGGGTCTGAGCGCCTCCGACAGAAATAGATAATCTGGATGAACTGACTGCAATTATTAAGTTTTCAGGTGGCCTTTCTCACTTAAAAACATATTTATACTTATTTATTCCCACTGATCACAGCAAATATAGCTGCAAGATTTAGATTATTTAGATGAAAAAACACCTGCCAGCCACCGCGCTGAAGAGGAGACCCGCCCAGAGGCTGCTGTTGAATTAAGTTTTCAGGTAGAAAAATAGAGCGGGAGCAAAACTAAGTATGATTGTGCTTTATTCATGTATTTATTACAAAGTATTAATCAAACCCATCAAAGTCATCATCCTCTGTTTCTGAATTAAACAGCTGCGCTAAATCAGACATGCCAATTTCCCCTTCTTCGCTGTCAGAGTCACTTTCCGTGCAGCGCGGCTCCTCAGAAATAATGCCGGCTTTTGCGAAAGCTTGTACAACAGAGTCAGCAGACACGTTAGTCCAAGCATCTACAATCCATCCGCAAACTGTGGCGTAACTTGCCCGGCGCTGCCTTCCACTTATCCTGAAACTGTGGTCTCCGTCTGTCATCCATCGCTCCCACGCCGCTCGCAGCCTTACTTTGAACGGCCGCTTCACACCGATGTTGAGCGGTTGAAATTCCATTGTCAGACCCCCGGGATAACGGCGAGCACAGCGTTCATTTGATTCACCTTTTTTTTTCACATCGGCTGTGAGATGGGCACGCAGCGATGGTGATGCGTGGAAAAAAGCACCTGGTCTCCTCACATACACCTGCCTTTCATCATCTCCTCATCCATCCAGCCTTTTTCATTTAATATCATATGTCATCAGAGCACTGTGTCTGTCTCGCTGTCAGCTCCCAGATCAGCTTCTCTGATTGGTTGATGCGGCGAGTCCAGCAGCAAAACTTCAATTTTTCCATCTCGAGCAGCAGCAGCGCGTTGGCGGTGCGTCAGATGCTTAAACGCTCCTGCAGCTCAAAACGCCCTGCAGGACCTTTTGCTGCACCTATATGCGCGTCAACCATTGACTTTGCATGTAAACTCGCTGCTTCTGCTGCACCTGCTGGGTCCGGTTCACACCGATGTCGAGCGGTTGAACAGCGAGCACAGCGTTAATTTGTTTCTCCATGTTTTTCACATCAGCTGTGAGATGGGCACGCATGGAGTTACATATTAACAGCGATGGTGATGAGTGGAAAAAAAAACACCTGGTCTCCTTACATTCAGCCACTCTTTCATCATCTCCTCAATGAGGTGGTCTCAAAAGTCGCAGTTATAACACACATAGGGCGCACCGCACCATAGGGCGCACCGCACCATAGGGCGCACCGCACATTTTGAGGGAAAAAAAAGACGTTTAAGTGCGCCTTATAGTCGTGAAAATACGGTAAGGAGAAAAAAAAATAGTACTTTTTTAAAAGATTTTAATACACGTTTGCATTTGTTTTGCACTATTTTAGATCAACTGTAGCAAAACTGAATGGAAGAAATCATTGATGTGCAACTCACAAAACAATTTGTGTACTAGTACTCAAGAATTAGAAGAGTTGTAATTTTTTTTGTAATTGTGACAGATTAAAAAAATCTAAAATTACAAAACACCAAAGTTAAAATGCACAAATAGTTTAGCAACAATAGTTCTGCAACATTTGAAGAAAAACAGAATGTAAGACACTTTTGATGTGCAACTTATAGAACAGAATTTTTGTACTTGTATCTGGTGTTTTTCACAACGCGCTATTATCCAAGTCATCTTAAAAGCATTCTTCTTCCAAATTTTGGCTACATATTACATGGTGTTCAATTTTTTTCCCACTTTTACCCGATGTATTCCAGCATCCAGCTGCCATGCTGTGGGCATTGTCAGTTTCACTATAGCTGTGGTGAATTTCAATGGTGAAGTCCTCTGGAAATCTTCAATAATTGTTGTTGATTGCAGATGTGTCTAGTAGTTCCCATTGATTTAGCTTGGAAAGCGGGGAGAATGGCGCTAGGCTTACCGCACCGTGACGTCACTGCCGGAAGATGGCAGGAGGGAGGGGTTACTATATTTGGGCAAAAATGGACGCTCCCAGACTAAATGATAGTGACGAAAATAATTTTAATTTTTTTTTACTGATCAACTCCAAATTCATTAAGTCACTGTGAATGTATTAGTTTTAGGTATAAATAATGATCCATTGATCATTCCTTGCTGACTTGACTTTTCCTTTAACATCTGCTTCCCAGGTTTAAATGAAATTAAAAATGTAAATCAGTGAGTCTTTACCCATCTCTTCTCATTCTCCTGGTGAGCTCATCGCAGCGCCTTTTGGTTTCCACAAAGATAATGGTCTTGTTCTCCTTTTCGCTCATGATCTCCTCCAGCAAACGGAGCAGCCTTAAAACAGCACAAAATATTTCATTTTTTATTTTATGCCTACTGGAGAAGTGACGTATGAGATGCTAGTGGCGGATTGCTTTAGAACCATTTGCTCTTAAAGCATGTTTCTATAAATAATTAATCCAACTTGGAGTTTCTGTGGTGGAAAAGCTCCAAGAATCGCCTACTTACTTGTCCTCCTTCTCCAGGTCATTGCAGACATCAACTATCTGCAGGATGTTATGATTGGCACTGAGCTGCAAAGCCCCGATGTTGATCTGAACGTAATCCTTCAGGAAGTCCTCAGCCAGCTGACGAACCTCTTTAGGCCAGGTGGCGCTCCACATCAAGGTCTGACGATCAGGCTGATAAAGATAGTAAATTAAATTCAGTTTATTTCTATAGCGCCAATTCACAACACATTTAATCTCAAGGCACTTTACAGTTCACCAGATCATCCAGTCAGATTGATTCAAAGTTTTCTATCTAAGGAAAAACAGCTGATTGCATCAACTCATTGACTCTTCAGCAATCCCTCACACTAAGCATGCTTGTAGCGACAGTGGAGAGGAAAAACTCCCTTTTAACAGGAAGAAACCTCCAATAGAACCAGGCTCAGTGTGAGCGGCCATCTGTTGAGGCCCACTGGGGTTCAAGGAGACAGAAGAAGAGATACAAAAAGCAGCTGTAAAATGTGGCTCCGTCCAGGAAACACACAGCCAGGCAGACGAGCTCCGAGCCAGCTCCCATGTCAGAGGATGAAAAGAGCACATCCAGTTAGTCACAGTCAGAGAAACAGGACTACACTGGAAAACAAGCTGATCTCCAACAGCTATAAACAAAGGTGTTGATGGCAGCAGCACAGCTGATATTTCTCTCCAGGATGGAGTCACAGCCAAACAGGAACAGATAAGATGAAGCTACGTATTAAAAGAATTGCATTCAGTAGTCTATCAAATCCAAAGGAGCAACTAACCCGAATTTGATCCACTATTTTGCGGATCTGAGGTTCAAAGCCCATGTCCAGCATGCGGTCTGCTTCATCAAGCACAAGGTAGGTGCAACGACGCAAGTTCGTTTTTCCACACTCCAGGAAGTCGATGAGACGGCCAGGGGTAGCGATGCAAATCTCCACTCCTTCAACAAAAACACAGTAATCAATATGAAGGCCATCAGGACATGTGTCTCTGCATCCAGACGTTAGAAGCAGACATACCCCTTTCAAGGTCCCTTATTTGTGGTCCTTTTGGTGCTCCACCGTAGATGCAAGTAGTCTTGAGACGAGAAGCCCTGCCGTATTCAGCAGCAACTTGTTGCACCTGCTGAGCCAGCTCACGGGTCGGTGCCAGCACCAAGCACTAAGGAGATCAGGTTCAATTTGAACAACTTTACTCATCACTAGTCACAGTTGTTTACATGACAGCACAAAAGCACACTTACAATAGGTCCATCCCCATGCTCCAAAAATGGCTGATGTTGGATGTGAACAATTGCTGGCAGAAGGTACTGAAGGAAGTAAAAAAAAAAAGGTTTAATAAAAGTGACTTTTATTCTGGTGTCTGTTATTAAAACCTCAAACAAGTAGATATCACATACTGCGATGGTTTTCCCAGAGCCAGTTTGAGCAATGCCAACCATGTCTTTACCGCTCAAAGCAACAGGCCATCCCTGGGACTGGATTGGAGTCGGTTCAGTGAAGTTCTGCTTAACAATAACATCCATGACGTAGTCTGTTGGAAAACAGGATATTCAGGTTAAACCGCTGATAACAGGGCAGAAGGTTCGCTATATGACAGAGGGTACATCATGCAGGATGCCATTCCAAAAAAAAAAACAAATCCACTGGAATGTCTTTTCAAGGTTGAAGATGTTTCTCTTCCCATCCAGGAAACTTTTTAAATTAAAAAACTTTAGCGTCGAGTTCAAGGTTTTATACAGTGGCCCATCAAAGCCTTATTTTTGTTCATGCAAATTGAAGGGCTACTATATAAAACCTCAAACTCAACGCTATTCCTGACATTCTGAATTGAAAAAGCTTCCTGGACGGGAAAAGAAACGTCTTCAAACTTGGAAACTTTTTTTGGAATGATTATAACCTGGATGACTGAGAATCTTCACCAGCATCATGCAGAATGTTTGGGGCTTACTTGGAAACGCAGCTTCGTGGAATTTAATAATTGGTTTGGGGCAATCTCTGCCTTTGACCGTAACTTCTTTGCTTCTACGATACTGTTCGACCTCTTGCTGCAATAGCAAAACAAACAAAAGTGACTTTTAACAGCAACCAGATTAAATTTGAGCTTCACTCTGTATATCAAAGCTTAAATATTTCTAATCAAGCAGAATGCAAGAGTTCCACATGTTATTTGAAAAAAGGTTCTCACCAGAGGTCTGTGTGTGACATCTGGATGCTCCTGGTAGAAGTTCTTTTGAAACTTTGGAAGCTCATCCAGGTTCCAGTGTCTCTTCCTCAGCCGTTCTCCAGGGTTTCCAAACTTCCCCTGAGGAGGTCCTCCCCTGTTGCCTCCGCCGCCACCAAAACGAGGAGGTCCACCACCATACCTAGAAGGGAGGGAAAAATCATTTCGTACAAAAAACAAAAACTAATGTTTACATGAATGCCTAAATACAAAGATTAAACTGCCAGCTTTAATAAAGCTGCATCTGAAACGGTCTTCAGGTGTGGGCATTTAGGTCTGTTAGTCCATCCAACTGGCTAAACAAGGTATTGATATGTAGAATCTAAACACACGCTACCTGTCCTATAATATCCTCTCAAAAAAGTACTTCTAAATAATCCTTTGCAATTCTGCTACTGCAAACACAGATGGTGCTTTGGTGAGCTGGTCCTGCTTATGATGTAATATGGGGTCTTTCACATAAACAGCTAGAAACGCACCGGCTCGATACCTGGACTGGATATCAGCTCCTATATTGACCCATTAGCTTCTTTATTTCTACTCTTTATGTGTTATTAAATTAAGTACATTTATATCTCTTAGGCGGTGTCCCAATACGGCTTTCACATCTGATGCAACGTTGATATTACATCTTTAAGAATCGGCTGATACCGATATTGACCTGATAAGATATTAGCACCAATCTCACTAGCTTATATTACTTATTTTATACTGTAGAATGTTAAAGGAGGCTTGTACAAGTAACATTCATAACACAGAAAACAATAGTGGACAAAAGAAGGTAAAAAACAACTGACCCATGTAAAATTAACAGATAAGTTAGAGAAACTTTTAACAGAAGCAGAAAGTACCCGATTTTAGATGCCAGACAATAAAATCTGATATTTGATTTTGGCTAATATTGGACCTATTTCCAATATCACACCCCTAATATCTGTGTTCTTTTTTTAAACCATGTTTATGCCAAGGCTAAAAAATTTACTCACACAGCAAGCTATATGGTTCTTTTATTTTACAGTTTAATCAGGTAATTATCGATTTCGGCTAAAATTCCCGGGTATCGTATTGGAAGAAAAAAAAAATCTAAATGGTGCATCTCTATTGAAAGCTAGCATATTATCTAGATCGCCAAGTTCAATTTTCCATGTTTACTAAGCCTAAACAAGGCTTTGTTTAGGTCTATAAAGCCTTTAAACTCAAGGCCATCTCTGACATTTTTAATTGAAAAAGCTTCCTAGATGGGAAGTGAAACATTTTCAAACTTGGAAACAAAGTCCAGTGAATTTTTTGAATAGATAATTCCAAACTTTTTTGGAATCATCTAGATGCCAGCCCAAATAAACTATGTTTGATTCAAACCTGATCCCTAGTGTTTGTAAACTCTCTGCAACTGTATAGGGCAGAATCTGTGGTCCAAAAGTTGATCTATCGCTATTTAAGGTCACTGTTCCTGTTTTTTTGGCTGGAAACGAGAAAAGTTCTAAGGGCACCAACTTAAAAAATAAAATAAAAAAGTGCGCTCAATTAGTAGTAATAGTGCTCAATTATGCTTTTTTTTAATTTATTTTATTGGCAGAAACAAGAGGCTTTTTTCTTAATTCAGGGAGCCAAAGATGAATGCATGAAGTAAAAGCTTATTCTCATTAGCTTTTGCATAAGAAACTTATTCTACTGTCCAACCTCTTCAGGAACAGCAGTCATGTTTTACTTTGAGTAGACCACTTCCAGACTTTATTTTAGACTCTAAAGCAGGGTTGGGTAATTCCAGTTCCTGGGGGGCCGGTATCCTGCAACTTTTAGATCCATCCTTGGTTCAACACCCCTGAATCAAATGGCTGTGTTTCCTTCTCAGCATGCAGTCAATTCCTCCAGCATCCTCTCAATCATCTAATTATTTGATTCAGGTGTGCTGAACCAAAGGCACATCTAAAAGTTGCGGGATACCGGCCCTCAGGAACTGGAATTGCCGCCCCTGCTTTAAAACTTTAATGTAAATCCCCTGCTTTAACAGCTGCTCATTCTCCTGGTGAGCTCATCGCAGCGCCTTTTGGTTTCCACAAAGATAATGGTCTTGTTCTCCTTTTCGCTCATGATGTCCTCCAGCAAACGGAGCAGCCTTTTGGTGTCGACACCAACATTTTGGTGTCGATCATTCGATTTCATCCTGGACACTACAGAAAATGGGCTAAAAGTGTTAAAAACCGGAATTTTCCTTTAATCTAATTATGACAGTTCCTGTCTGGATATATAGTTACAATCTTCATTCTGTACATAGCAAATATTGGGAAATGGAATGAGAGCTGCGTCCTTCATCTAAGAACAAATTATAATATTTTGATAAGGCTGGAGCCATGGATGTCTAATAACCTGCTAACATGTATGATTTAAAAGAAGATGATGTGGCAGACTGGAGATGTATAAAATGCCTTTTCAACTGTTAATCAGGACCACTTCCTGAGAGGTGAGCAGCTGCCTTCTATAACTAAGCAATTTCTCTGATCTGAGTAAGATTACAATTTCTATCAGAATCTGTTATGTCTAAAGGTTATTTAATACATATAAGTTATAAAAACTTATTTAAAGAGTTTGTCCCCACCGATCGGAGAGATAAAGCTTCCAGATGCGGACACAGAACAGAAGTTTTAGAGATTGAACAAACCATATAATAAGATGTTGCATGTTTTCCTCTGATAAACAACCTACTATGGCAAAGATATTTTTTATACCTACAAGTATTTTTACCAAAAAAATCTTTATATAACATAAATACGATTTCATAAAAGTATCGTTATAAAAGCAGTCAGGAAAGTGTAATCAGGTCAGGGTCTGTGTTCCTGTTAGCTTAGCTGCTAGTTGAACACTGACCAGGAAACAACCCTGTGACCTACTTACACACTGTTTAACAACACGGCCCCGTTTAGCCTCCAGTAAAACATTTAACGGTAGCAAAACATTACCTATCAAATAAGCCTATTTGACACAAATCTGGGGCAATTCAAAATTTAGAGCCGACTGCGTCACAAGGTGGGAGTGAAAGCGCGCAGGCTGCCGCTGAGCCGCAGACACAAGGCCGCCGATTGCTGCCATTTTAGCTCAGACGTCCGGGAGCAAAACTGGGAGCGTTAAACAAACCCTCCGGAGCCCCCAGCACTAACCGGCTGGCTGATACTGACGACTTAACACAGGAATCTCATAAAAACGTCGAGTACTAACAGCGAAAGCAGATTCTTATTTTGTTTTATTTTAGAAAAAACGGCCGCGAAAAAGACGCCATCAGTGGTTAAACACTAAGAAAAAAAAAAAAAAGACACGACCAACGAAGTATTGATACATACCCTCTATCTCTGCCCCGGTCTCTGTCTGAAAAGCCAGGCATTGTTTAGCAGATTGTCGTGGAAAAAGTTGTAAGAATGATAACAGCTCCTGTAAGCACTGAGAGCTGGTACTGGAACTAGGTGAAAAGAAAATGCCGGCCGGTTCACGAAGCCAGAGCTGCGAGGCGGAAATGATGTCAGAGAAGGCGCATAACACATGTATTCATGCGCGTGTGGTCCTATTTTATGTCCGAAATTGACCTAATTTTACCCACGCCTCTCTAAATGCGTTATGGACCATGCTACTGCGCACGTGGACTTAATTTGGTGTTCTTCGCTGTTTGGCAAAGATAATTATGAAGGAGAAATAAAAATCGAATTAAATTAAATCTAAAGAAGTTGACAACTGTGCAGGGGCAGATTTAGGAAATTTGGGGCCCTAGGCAAAGACAGGCAGGGGGCCCTCTGAATTGCGAAGCTACCACATAAAACATACCCATCATACAGACACAGAAATGTTTTTATCCCTTTTCTTGTTGTTTTCCTCTCCACGTTTTCATTTGTCCCTTTTTCAGACATCCCAAGTCTCCCGGAAGTTCAGCGAGTCTCCCTGATATAGATAGGTGTTTACGGATGCCTGCGAGTTGGATAAATTATCCCGGATTTTAGACTCTGCAACCTGAAAGGAAAAATCTAATATTGTAACAATTTTATTTTTTTCTTTAATCTGTTGTTCCAGATCTTGATGGCAGTAGGATCACCTGTACTGGACTGCATTACAGTGCCTCTGATGAAGCATCCAACAAAAGAAACTTTGCTTTATTTCGTCAGGGTCGCAGTGCAGCCGGTGTCTATCTACAGCAGCCTATGGGCAAGACACGCAAAGACACACAACCATGCACACACACACACACACACACTCACATCTAAAGATTTTAATCTTCAAACCTGTGTTCTAGCCTTTTTAAGCAAGCATCAAACCCATCGATGGGGCCAGATTATAGAAAACCCTCGGTCAGTAAATGTCAAGCATTCCTTGTTTGCCTGATAATGGCTTGGATTGCCACCTCCGGACCTCACAGAGTTGTCTGACTTAATGACATCGTCTGAATTTCTGCTTCTTGACCATCACCTCTCGCCAAGTCCCATGATCTGTAACCCAAAGATTCCACATACTCCGTCAGCGCTGCGCTTCACCCCAATCACGTGTGTCGTGTGGAGTCTGTCATGTTAATCAATGAGAGCTTGGATGGCCTCCTTAAACCAACAGGCTCTGCCTCTGCCTTGGAAAAACTAAATGGATAGCCCTTTTTTTAGAAAGTCAATGTTTTTCTTCTTTCACCTGTCTCATTTGACCATCACTAAACTAGCCCGGAGTCCTCCAGGACTGGAGTGACGTCACACTGGAAAAACGTTCTAGTAATAAGTAAACATTCGTAAATTAAGTGTATTTACCCTTAATTTGAATAGGTAAATTAGATAGTTTGCCAATGGAATGAGTATTTTTGCTCTCAAAATTAGGTTAATACGACAATATGCACTTTAAATAAGACAATGCAATTGTATTTTCTCATTTTAAGTGTAAAATGTTTTGCTACATTGGCAAAATGTCGTTTAACCCCTCAATCCAAGAACAAATACACTTATTTGAAGAAAAATATGACTTGTATAGATTTTGATTTTTTTTCAGTGCACCGTCAAATCTAATGCTGCTCTTAACCCACCTTCTTTCCTCTCTTCACATATTTTCTGAGTCCTCAGTAGCTTTTTTTTTTGGTTTAATTGTTTGAAATATAGAATCAATCCAGCTACTAACTGGATCTCTCTGCCTTAGAGGTTTCTGTCTCCCAACTGACCGGTTTTCTGCAGCATCTGAGGAATTCCCTGAATAAACCTTTGAATTGTTCTCTGTTATGTCTGAATTTAGGGTTTCTCTTTCATGTCATTGGACACAGACACAATCAACATGAATATAAAATATAAGGAGGCTTTATTTTGCTGTCTCTTTTCATATTTTGCTGCTATAGTCAAGAGCAGGGGCGGACTTACCATTAGGCAAAACCAGGCAGTTGCCTAGGGCCCCGAGTTCCTGGGGGGCCCCCTAAAACTCATTTTACATGTATGGTTAATTCAGCAATTACTTATGTGAGCACATTAATTATGTTTTTTAAAAAAATGCTTTCGCTAAAATGGCATTAGAATGCTTATAATATTAACTGTGTTTCGGGGCCCCCCCCCTACAGTGTCCACTACATTGGTTCAGTCCATTTGCTGCGCATGGGCAGAAAGGTCCAAACACACTGCAGCAAACTATTTGAAAAAACAAACGGCGCGAAGAGACGAGACGAGCAGAGCGGAGAAGAGAAAAGAAAGGAAAGAAAAAAGATGAAAAGAAGTTACCCTAGCGGTGCTGAAAAGAGGAGAAAAAAAGAATGAAAGTAGGAAGCTGCTTTCAAAGTTACCAAAAATGACTGAGTTCGGCTTCTTCACTGCGGCAGCGGCGAGCAGCAGCAGCAGTAACCTGCCGCAAACAGCTGAAAACTCAGCGGCAAGTCTGGCACCTGTTAAGGAGGATCCATCGTGTGGAGTTGAACAACTAGTGAGTATTAAGCTGTCGAAGGGGACATTCCCCCTATATTGATAAGTATTTATTTACCTTATTGAAAATGGGTCATTTTAAATTAAGTTTCTAATTTCATTTGGATTTGCTACAAACGATGAAAAATCTATTATTTAGGTGTTTTTATGTTGAATTTCAGGAAAATCTCAGGCTTTTAAATGTTGTAAAATCACCCATAAGTTTTAGGTGTTTTAGTCTTTAATAATTTAAGTTATACATTCAAAAAACATAAGGAATTATTACCAACATCTCACTCTGCTTTACAGCTTTGTATTGACACTGATTTGATGTGTTTTATTGTGTACAGCTTGGGATGTTAAGGGTCACATTAATTATAAATTAAATAATTTACTGTTCTGTAGTTTAAGCAATTGTCATTTGTAACATCACTAGTCTTTCCTGTGACATGCACCTTTTATCTTTTATTTATATATATATTTTATTTATTTATTTATATATATATATATATATATATATATATATAATTTTCAATCCACTGCAGAAGAGACCTAAAAAAGAGAGTTTTTCTTGCCTCTAATTGACATTAAAGGAGAGATTTTCACACATGGAAACCTTTTATGAGCTTTATGGATTTCTCTACTCCACTGATGTCATGAGAAGCACTGAGAAGGAAGGGAAGCTGGATGAATGTTGCCAGAGACTTGAGCAGACGATGGATGACATTGATGCAGAGGATATGAAACTTGAGGTAAAGGGAGCAGTTAGATCCTTCCCTATAGCCTACATATCTCATCACCATCTGAGATGCTTGATTATATCTATAAGGAGAATATCCTAGACCTTTATCCAAATATGAGTATAGCTCTCAGACTTCTGCTCACTCTACCTGTGAGAGTCTCTTCAGGTGAGAGAAGTTTCTCAAAGCTGAAGCTAATTAAAACATATCTAAGGTCAACAGTGTCACAGGAAAGGCTGTCTGCACTCGCTGTTCTCTCCATTGAGCAAGAAGTCAGGAAGTCAGTGGATATGGATCTTCTCATTGCAAGATTTGCTGAGGCCAAGGCTCGAAAAATGAAATTTTAGGGAGAAAGAGAATACAACCACTACGAAAAAGGGACAAAACATTAAGAGGAAAACAACAAGAAAAGGGGACAGGAAGAGAAAAAGGGGGAAACAAGGAGGAATGAGTAAAAGAAACAAAAGAATAAGAAAGTCTCAGTCTTTTTCTCAGACTGAGAAAAAGACAGGAAGAGAATAAAACAAAAGAAAAAAAAGAGTAAAATGAAACAGACATGAAAAAAGGACAGGAAGAGAGGGATAAAAGGTAAAATAATGCATGTTTATTCTCTTAAAATGTCAATTTGTATAATTGACCTGTTGTTTTGTGTGTTGTTTTCTCATTTCAGATGGCCCCGTGCCTGCCTTTGCCTAGACTACTACAGAAAGGGACAAAAGAACACAGAAGAAAACCACAACAAAAAGGATAAGAAGAGAGGGACAAAAGGTAGAACAAATAATCTAAGTCTATTCTATTATAATTTCTGTATCTGCATACTGAGTCTGTTCTATATGTTGTCTTCTCAATTCAGAGGGCCCCATGCCTGTCTTTGCCTAGGGCCCCAAATTTCCTAAGTCCGCCCCTGGTCAAGAGTGTGTGGTGTTGTTCACTCAAAGCAGGTTTGAAGGGTAAGTATTTGTAAATTTAATGGTGTGAAAGACATTTCTTTATCATCATCAACTTTATTTATAAAGAGCTTTAACAACAGATACAGCTGAAACAAAGTGCTGTGCATCAGTGGTAACAAAACAAGGGGAAAAAAACAGAAAAACCTCACAATTGGTTAATAAAACTAAACACATAACAACAACATATGTAGAATGTAAATAAAATTTGACAGCACAATAGAACTGATTCCATTAATAAAAGGGTCAAAGAGAAAATTAAGGAAATTACCGGTAATTGAAATTAGGTCTCAGTCGGGTTGAAAGGCAGTTCGTAAAGATACATTTTTAGATGGGCTTTAAAGATGGACAGCATAGGGGCCGGTCTGACAGAGCGTTCCATAAATTAGAGGCCCCGATAGAGAACACCTTGTCCCCTCTAAGATTCCACTTAGAGGTGGAGACTACCAGGATAATCTCTGTTAGTTAAGAGTGGCAAGTTTCTTTAAAACCTTGAAGACAAACAGAAGGATTTTAAAATGAACTCTAAAATACATGAGCAGCCAACGAAGAGATCCAAGACTAGAGGAGCTCTGTTTTACTGTTACCTGTTAAAGGAAAAGTCAGATCAGCATGAATAATCAATGGATCATTATCTATACGCAATACTAATACGTTTGCGGTGATTTAATGAAATAAATAAATAAATAATAATTTTCGTCACTATCACTGAGTCTGGCCATTTTTGCTTAAATATAGTAACACTTCCCTCCTGCCATCTTCCAGCAGTGACGTCACAGTGCGGTAAGAAACCGCACATTGGGTAAAAGTGGAAAAAAAAACGAGTACAGCACTGGGACTTGATCAACAGCCGATACCGCACCTTGACGTCACAAACCAGTAGGTGGCAGTAGTGTTCTTTGACAAACATGGATGCCTCCAGTAAAGCACATTCAAATGAAAATTACTCTGAATTAAAAACTGATCATTTATTGAACAGGATGGAATAATTTCAGATTTAAAAAACTTTCAGAAGTTTGAATTCTGACTATTCTGACTTTTCCTTTAAGCTCTATATCTATTCTCATGTGCTTCTTATATTGCTTTAATGTAGATCTGCTGCAGTAATTAGAGGACGAGGGAAGAGTTCCGGTGAATTGAGGGTGGAACACTATTACAGATGCTTATGCAACATCTTTGTTTCTACTTGTGAAGCTGTAAGTAATAAATAAATGACATAAGCAGCAAATTTGGGTGCAGGTCTTCTCCAGCCGTTTACTTCTTCACGTTTTCATAGATTTGCAGCTTTTTGTGCTTTTGATATCGTATTTTTCCTGGTAAGGGAGTCTGTTGGTCTCTATTTTGGGCTGTCATAAATTTATTTTATGAGATCACTAGTGTCATTTTAGAGGGATTATGTCCCCAAACTTAACCAAAATGTCCTAAAATCCGTTTGCAATAACCAGAAGCAAAAAGTAGATTATTTTCTTGGTAGATGTAAGACTTGTTTCACGGTTCCAAAACCTGAAACAGAGGAACACAGACAGACAGTTAAAATGTAACTAAAATGTAAAGATTTTCCTAAACGTGCCTAGAAAGGAGATTACTTTAATTGCTCTTCAATTAATGTTTTTTTGTAAGTTTTACTTTTAGTTTTATAGTCGGAACTGAAACGACGACTGATGAGAGAACACAACTGAATATTTAGCATGAGAAGAAACATTTTAAAGATATTTTCTTTTTTTTGTTTCTTTTTTAAGGAGAGTGACTAACTTTTCTAAAAGTACTTACTTTATACCTTCAAACTGCCATGGACGCTCAGTCCTGCTTCATTTATTTATATCCAGCGACTCACAGTCTTTTTTCCGGTGTCCTGTATTCCAGTAGGAGAAACAGATGAAAACAAATTTAAAGTAATGCTTACAGGGTAAATGTATATCACGACTGAATGATACCCTTTCAGATATCTTTTAAACAAAAAAAGCAAGAACTGATCAAATGAAATCTTGTCACAAAACAACAAAAGGAAACTGAACAATTATCTGGCTTCTTCTGTTGGAGAATAACTGCAGATTTATGAAGATCTTCTCTTTTTTCCCCGCATTGATCCATTGCTCGGTGGTGCAGTGGGTAGCACTGCTGCCTTGCAGAAAGAAGGTTACTGGTTGGATTCCTGGCCCAGGCTCTTTCTGCACGGAGTTTGCATGTTCTCCCTGAACAGGCATGAGTTCTCTCTGGGTACTCTGGCTTCTTCTCACGGTCCAGTTTATTATTGGACTGTGAGAGGAAGGTTAATTTAGTTAATTGGCTTCTCTAAATTCTCCTTAGGTGTGAGTGTGAATGACTATGTCTCCTGCGATGGACTGGCCACATGTCCAGGGAGTACTCTCGCCCATTGACAGCTGGAGATAGGCACCAGCACCCCTCGCGACACCAGCAGGGATAAGCATGGACGGAAAATGGATGGATGATCCATAGAGGAGCTTTCCTACATGTATGTCACCCTCTGCTAATCTGCAGCCTTCCATCTAAAGGAGGAAGCTGGTTTCACGCTGGAGGAAGCTGGTGTACCAAAGGTTTCAGAGAAATGTCCCTCACTGTGCACTCACCGCAAAACATACTTTTTTCACTCATGTTTTATTTTTTAATTGACAAAACCCAATTTTTTTCTTCCATTTCTTTCCTGTGAACAAAGTACATGGAGCTTCTTATCCATGTACTTAAACTACAGCAGAACACATTATTCTGAAATAATTAAAATTATTAAAAATAACCAATCTGAACTTTTATTCCTGCATACAGATTGGTGCTGCATGTCCAAACCTGCCTGGTATGAAGCAATTAAATATAAAAAGGTATGAACTTAAATGACCAGCATCCATTTCCAAAGCTTTAGACACACCTTTATTTCTTCATTCTTTTTTTTTTTTGGTAGGAATTAATTCTTTGTGCGTCCAGCCACCTCTTAATCCATAATATTAATGCATACATATTTTTATTAGAAACAGGTAATGATTAAAATGATTCAGAATCGTGCAAAAAACAAAGCAAATTCTGGAAGCCGGCTGTTGGCACATGCAGCCTGCTTGAATCTATTCCCAACAAAACTATTAAAATGCTTATCATTATTTTAAACTGAATATAAATGACTCCTGAATTTAAATAAGGCCAAATACTACATTTTTTTCCCAGTCAAAAAAAAAAAACTACAGATAGTAACCTTGGAACAAAATGAGTGCAATTAGAGATCTGATTATGTGTGGAAAATAAGAATAATAGAATTCAATAAATGCTCTATGAATAATAAGGTTGAAAAAAAGGGGAAAGATAAAACAGACAAAAATGTTATTTAGAATAAATACGTTACAATAAATGAAAACATTAAAATATCAGGTGGAAAATTATGATTGTAAATAACTATGGTGATTATGGCAAAGCTGAATAAACAAAAAGCTAATTAAAAGAGATAACATTGTATAACTGAATTAGAAGTTATATTTATTTTTTCTATTTCTTATTCCATTGATTTGATTGGCGATTATTTATTCATTTCTGTATTTATTTTTCAAATTATGTAGCAGTTGGTCCTCCATTCAAAAATACTAATGTACCAAGAGAATAAACTAATACTTAAGTATAGTCAGGGGCTGATTTAGGAAATTTGGGGCCCTAGGCAAAGACAGGCAGGGGGCCCTCTGAATTGAGAAGACAACACATAAAACAGACCCATTATAAAGATAGAGAAATGTTAATAGAATAGACATCCATTATCTGTTCTAGGTTGTGTCCCTCTCTTCTTGTCCCTTTTTTTCTTGTTTTCCTCTCTATGTTTTGTACTCAGCTGACTTTTCATGCTGTCTCTAAAGGAATGAATCGTTGCATGCAGCTACAGCTCACACTGTACAAGAGATGGCGCTACTCGGATTCGTCTATCCGTGAGCTAAACGAGTAGAAGAGGAACACGAAGCTCACTAGAGTGAAATTTGTGCAATTTTGTGCTGAAAGCCCTAAAAAGAAAAGGCGACGACGTATTTGGACAAAGTCATGGCTGAGCAAACGTGGCTACTACGGTCTGTCAATTTTACAGAACGAACTCCATTTCACTCATTGTACCCCCGCCATGCTGCTGGGTTTTCATCTGAGAGGAAGAAGAAGAAGAATCCTTGTTTGCGCACTGAGCGATTTGCCCACCTTATGACGGCCGACTGAATTTCAAACATGTTTGATTTTTCTCTCGACTTTACGATTCCTGATGGAGAAGTGTTCATTAGAGGCTGATCGCCCTTCGTTACCCCCGTACACTACACCACGCACAATCAGGATGAAAGTTGGCCCCATCAGAAAATTCTCGCATGACTGGAAAGTCACCCCGAAAAGGGCAAAAAAAATCATACAGTGTAATGCCGGCTTTAGCCCATTGTGCCTTAATGTGTTTCCTAAAAGGTGGCGGCAAAAGTAAATAACCCAGTCCTTCTTTTCACTGTAGACAAGCCATGATCTGCTTATCTGTTCTCCATTTTTCATTTGGATGAAATAATAGCTGCATGAATCATGACAGCAGACAAGATAGAGGAGAGCAGGAGGCGGGGTTACCAATCTACTTGCTCTGGAGAGCAGAGTTCGCTGCTTTTAGATGTTGTTGCCAAAGTCTCTAGTAGAAGAAAAAAGTCACTAAATTTGCATTAGGCGTCAAATGCGCTAAGTTGGCAGCAAATGGACTGATTCAATGTAGTTATGAAAAAACATAATTAATGTGCACAAATAAGGAACAGTTGTATTCACCAGAGTTTTATGGGGTGGAGGCAAACTTGTGAAATAGTAAACTGACAGAGAACATTAAAGTAAATGGCATTTTATTTTTGGAAACAAATGAGGATGAAAATCACTTTGGTATTTTTTTATTTCTCCTAACTATGAGGGGAAAAGCGGTGATCTGCAGTTAATTCAGCTGAACAGGAGGAACCACACATCAGAAGT